GCTCATGGGTCAGGGGAGTTGGGAGCCTCTGCTGCTTTCCAGATCCTGCCGGTTCCTGCGAGATGTAGCCAAGGGAGCCAGATGCGCTATTGGCCTGGTAAATGCAGGAAGCCCAAGCTGTGTAAAAAACTGAAATGAAATGAAATAAAAATAAAAATAAAATGACACAGCATTTTGCATCCTCTCCATGGGCCGGTACTGTGACAGGTGTTTCAGATATATTATTTATTATCCCATGTCGTCCTCATCATATCCATAACTGGAAGGTCGTCTTAGTTAGAAGTGGTTTTGGCTGCATGTAACAGAACATCTGACTCATGGCATATTTACTTGATTATCTCATTAAACAAAAAGTCTTGCTCTTTCTGCGGACACACTCATGGTGATGGTAGCGGCAGGCGCGACCTGCAGAGTTGACGCTGGTGAGTTCGCCACCTGCATATGCGGTGGAAATTCTCCACCAGCAATGGCATCACCGGTGCCAAGGACCATGTGTCCATCCTAATGATGAACGTGGCCGAGGTTGTTGACAAGGCGACAGGCAGTTTCAAGGGCCAGTTCAAAACCTTTGCTCTCCGCTTTTGGCAGGAAGGGCGAGTCCAGTGACTCCCTTCTCCCTCTGGCCAAGCCTGATGGCATCACCTCAAAGGACTTCTGACTGGAGAGCTTTACAGATGTGAAATTTGTCATAAATAAATAATGAACCGCACTCTCTCCCCTCCAAAAAAAAAAAAAAATAGATAAATAAAAGTCCAGAGGTAGATGGTTCCAGGGAGGGTTGTTCCGCAGTTCTAGTTTGGGGCTGTGCAATCTCCCTTGCCTGCCCTCCTAACATCCCCACCGGCACATCCTCACACAACAGCACCCCAAAAAGAGGAGGCAAATAGGGTGGGGACATATACCAGAAGGCACGCCCGTGGCTGCCCTGGATCAATCCTTAGCAAAGAGGATTTCCCTGGCTGGCTCACACCAGTGGTAGTTCATTTCCAGGGAAGGAGATGGGGCCACTTGCCTAAACACCTACCCGATTCCTCAACAAAATCGAGTTCTGTTAGCAAGGGAGAAGCCAGGGTCCCCCCGAAACATCCTCTCCTTGGTGTACGAGCAGCTGGTCTCCTTCCCTGGAGGAATTTTGCCCCTGGGTTGAGGGGAAAGGAGGGACATGCTATTTGGGACCCTAGTCTGCACACAAGCCAGGGGTTTGGGGTAGAAGGGTTAACATTTATTGAGCACCTACCGTGTGCCAGGCCCCACAGTGGGTGATTTCATCCTCTCATCATTTCTTTTTGTCTTCACAATAACCCTGTGAGGAATGACATGTTCATCCCTTTTTTCAGGTGAGAAAACTGAGCCTGAGCCCTGATCGCACATACGGCAAGAGGCCGAACCAGAATGAGTGCTGAGAGCAGCCATTTGTCACCAGCACTCACTGTGAGTCAGGCGCTCTGATAGGTGTGTCACCTGGATTAGATCATTTACTCCTCACCCCAGCTCCATCCCACCCACGAGGCGCTGCAGCTTGGGGAGGAGGAGCAGGCTGCCTGAGGTCCCACAGCTTCGCATTGGCTGAGCCGGGCGACGACCGCCAGAAGGTCGCCCACGTGCCCCCAGATTTGGAGAACAGCTCCAAGCCTGTTCTCTGGCCCTTTTGGGATTGTTGGCTTCAGCAGACAAGATGGATAAATAAACAAGAGGCTCAGGAAACTCCTTTCCCCTTTTGATGTTCTGAATCCACTGAGACCACATGAGCATCAACGTAGCTGCCTTGACATCCATCACTAAACAGGCAAATAAATGAATCTTTAATATGATAGCAGGAAATGTTAAGTACTGGCAAGGGGAAAAAAATAGGATAAGGCAATAGAAAGTGAGGGTGTGACTGCTTTAGACCAGGTGGTCATGGAGGGCTTCTCTGAGGAGGTGACAGTCGAGCAAAGACAGAGGGACGAGGGATGGGATGGAAAGAGCAAGCTGGGCAAGTCTCCCACAAAAGAGCATTCCAGACAGAAAGAAGAGCATGTGCAAAGGCCCTGAGGTGGGAGTGAGTTTGGCACGCTTGAGGGAGGGTGAGAGTGAGTGTGGCTGGAGCTGAGGTGGGGGGGGCTGTGGGGGGACAGGAGGCCAGGGAAGTGAAGGTGGAGGAGGCAATCATGTTGGTCCTCGTAGCACCTTGGAAGGTCCTGGGCTGTGCTCTGAGTGCGGTGGAGCCATGGAGCGTTCTGAGGGGGATTCGGTGACAGGATTGGATTTAGGTTCTAGTGAAACTGAGACAGTACAGTAGGAAAGCTGAGACAGGAAGCTAGGAAAATTTCTGGGCAAGCGGAATGGGGAAACTGAGATAAGAAAATGAAACCAGGCCAATCAGTTTGAGCAATTTACAGCTAGCTGGTCAATCAGTGGATCTTATCTCCTCTAACCAAGGATACTTGAGAGTGAATTGTTTGGGAGTGTGTGCTTCTCCTCTCTAAGCAGACAACATGTAGCCTCCCTGGCCATAAACCACAGGTGCCTGGGGAACAGAGGGACGTTAATGCGAATGGAGCGCTAACTCTGGAACTGGGAGGAAACTGCACTCCCCTTCCAGCTCCTCCTCCCCTTTCTCTCGAGAGAAAAGGCACGTCTGCACTTCTTCGAATTTGGCCCTTCCAGAGTCCCACCTTTCCCCTGTGCAAACTTGCCTCTGAAAGCCCAAGGTAAAGCAGGTGGCAGGGTTTTTACCCGCCAACTGCTCAGACTGCTGGCCTCTGAAATTAATAAAAACGCAATTATAATCCAGTCCCTGTCTCTGTTTTTTGGCTGAGCGGTGACAGACAGCATGACTAAGAGATCCTCCAGTTCTAAAACCAGAAAAGTCAGTGTTCGTGCTGCCTGTCACTACCAGACCCAATAAGCAGAGACAAGCAAGGATGGAATCTTTATGGGCGCTTTATTCAGATGCCAGTGACCTGAGAAGATGGCAGGTTATGTACCCTCAAAAACTGTCTTAACATCTCATACGAAGCTGATCTTTTTATAAGAAGAAGAAAGGGTAGGTAAGGAGTCATCGGATGAGAATTGCTGTTGATTTTCCCAGAACTTCTTTATCTGTTGATTAAAAACTCTTCATCTACGTTCCCTCTCTGGAACACAAGGGCTCCGACTTGGGATACCATCCCCATCGCTTGCAGACATGCTGGGGTAGGCACAGAGGTTGATTTGCTTGTCGACCTCCTGGAGTCTCGGATAGACGCCAAGCACTCCAATTCCTGGAATAACAGCTTTCCACTTGCATTGATCATTTAGGCCTATCAACTATACCTAAGGCTCAAATCTTTAACTCTTGGGTTCCCACATCACTGGCAGGACCCTTCGGACTACTGTGGGGAGAATGGGCTGTGGAGAGATGAGAGCTGAAGCCAGAGGCCTAGGCAGGAGTAACAGCTCCTAAGAAGGCTGTTGGGAAGGTGAAACCTGCCTCAATTCCCCCAGCAGTGAGCAGTGAGCACAGAACTAGAAGCAGACCTGCTGGGCCCCAGCTCCACACTCGGCCCATGGTCTCACAAAACTTACCTGCGCCAAGCACTCAGTTTGCAACTCCCCCTTACCGACAAGCGCTCCTCAATTCCTCACACCCCCTACCGCAGGTAAGTAGAACTCAGATCCGCCTGGTCCCAGATTAAGTAACCCGGCATCAGTGAGGGTAAGTTTCCTGTGTGAGGTTTGCCAGGGTGAGAGTGGGGCCAAGTGGGTGCAGGGAGCTGCAAGCGTGAAGCAGACCTAAGGTGAGGCCCAGGCCTTCCAGCTGGGAACCCAGGTTCTTACCGGCCCCCAGGCGGGTCTCCTGTGGAGCCAACGGGGCTTGGAGGCTGGCACCTTAACCATCAGGTAATCCTGACAATGGCTCCCACATCCTGGGCCCCCGCCATGCCCCAGCTAGAGGGCTGGGGGCCTTACGCTCACTGGTCTGGCCCTTACAGCAGGCGAGGGCTGGGGACCTGGAGCCCAGTTCCAAGGAGCTCCCGTAACCCCCTCCCTGCAGTGATGCAGGTAATATATAGGGGGCAGAATCCAGCCCAAACCCACCACAGGGCAGACAACTAAGTTCTCTAAGTTTTCCAGGTGCAGATGGGACGAGGAGAGGGCTGGGCAGTGGAAGTGTCACAGGTGGGCACAGGTAACCAGGTTCTTGGTGATCGTGGACAAAAAATTGAACCGAACACACAGAGTTTATAGCAGGAAGTGAGAGAAAGCAGATTTATTAAGCCACACAGAACATGGGAGCAGGCCAACTCTGAGCAGAACAGAGCAGAGCAGAGCCTAACAGCAGCATCCCCGAACTCAGGGGCTAGAGGGCTTTTATTCCTTAGGGTGGGTCTCCCATGATTGCCTTGATTGCCTACCGGGAAGGGGGTCCCACAATGCTAATTTATTATAATACCGTTATAACGAAGCAAGGGTCAGGTAGCATCTTCTGCACAGCTGCATTCCTGATTCACTAGGATTCACTCCAGAAAGCAGAAACTACCAGTCTTAGAGCAGCGTCTCCGCCCTTTATCCCTGTCGTAGCCCTGGGGCACCTCTGGAGTTTCCTCCTTTCTGACTATCTCCTGCCTCAGAAGTGGTTGAGGTGGAAAGCGATGGGCAGCGCCCACCCTTCCACCAGTCATCTTCCCAACCTCACACTCCCTTCCCGACCCGCAGGTTTTCACCTCCCCCTCCCCCCACCCCCTTTCTACCCTCACAGAACTTCTCCCTCCCTGCACATCCTCTCCCCACCCAGACCCACCGCACCCCCGTCATCTCCAACCCGCATCTCCCCTTTCCTCCATTCCACATTTCTACCCGCCCCCCGCCCCGCCCCCCACACACACTCCTGGCCCGCGGCACGGGGGCCGGTCTCGGGCCGGGCCGAGAGGAGGGGTCTCCAAGAACGCCCCCAGCGGCCCCTGGGGACCTGGGAGGGCTCGGCGGCCCCGCCCCGTGCCCCTAAATGGGCCCGGCCTGTGGGCTGGAGAGAGGGCCCCGGGGCGGAGAGAGGCACCTGGGTGGGCCGGGCCGCCCCCGAGCGCGCCCGCAGTCTCCCGCGCTCGGCCGCTGCAGATTCGCCCGCCGGCCGGACCATGCCCTGGGCCGTGCTCCTCGGCCTCCTGGCCGCGCTGCTGCTGCTGTTGCTGCTGACCCGCCGGCGCACGCGGTGAGTGCCCCCCGCCGGCCCGGCCCGGCCCCGCAGCCCCGCCGGACAAAGGGGGCGCCTCCGCTCCCGGGCCCGGGCTGCCGCTGGGGGTCGCGGAGGCAGCGGCAGGCCCGGGCCGCGACGTGCCCCTCCGCCCCAGTGCTCGGGGCAACCTCCCACTGCCACCCCACACCCCCGGAGCGAGCCCCGCGGAAGTGGGAGCGCCGGCCCCTCGCACAAGGGGCTCCCGCGCTTGTCTCCGGGAGGGGCCGGGCCTTGCCGCCGCTGTAAGGCAGTGGGGTAGGGGCTCCGGAAGGTGTGGTGGGGACGCGGGCTAGGTCCCAGGGGGCTGACACGCGCCGCACTGGCGCGGTCGGCCGGGCCTGGCCCCGAGCGCGCTCGCGGGGACCGGCGCGGGGGTGCCAGGTGAGGACCCAGGGTCTGGGGGTGAGGGCAAGTGCGTAGACAAGCTCAGGATGACGCCCCCTGGAAGAGGCCCCCGCTCCCGCTCTCCCGCCGCTAGCAGGATGCAGCACCGTCTTGGCGGGTGTCGAACCCCGGCTTTGCTCCGTGTAGTCCGGCGGTGCAGCCTTCTCCTCACCCCCATTCCACAGAAGGGAGAGGTGAGGCCGGGGGAGGCGCCCGCTTTCCAGCCCTGAAGCCACCTTCCACAGGAGTCCCCGGCCCGGACCCGGGGGCTGGGGGAGCTCGGTGTCTCCCCCGCTCAGGGGGGAAACTGAGGCCCAGGCGGGGGTCTCCCCTGCCCTGAGGTCCTGCGGCCTCGGCAGGTAGAACCAGGGTGAAATGTCTCAGCCTCCTAGTCCCAAAGGTCTAGGATTTCTGCTCCATTGAGAATCTGCAGCTTAGGAGAAAAAGTAAAAAACTCATACCCCTCAAGTCAGGGAGATGGCAGGAGGCCTTTCTCATTCTCTAAAACATTTAAAAAATTAATTTGAATCGCGCAAGGAATAGCCGAATACCTTTGACTTAAAACAAATATCCTGTCAGGGATAAGCCCTCCTAACCACCCTTCCGACAATTTCGGACCACTCCTGTTTGGGGCAACCTTCCAGATTTTTTTAGAATACATTTTTCATTGTAGACTATTGTTGTATTAACAAAGAAATTGCAAGGGTAGTACAAAGTGTTCCCAATGCCCCATGCCTGGATTCTCCTCTTCTTAACATTTTCTGGTATAAGATACATTTGTCAAAACTAAAAACCAACTCTGGTCTGTTACAACTAACCAAACTGCAGGCTTTATTTACATTTTAGCAGTTTTTCCATTCATGTCTTCCTTCTAGTCCAGAATCCAACCCAGGGTGTCGTATCTCTTCAGTCTCCCCTGCTGTTGTTACAATTACTTACATACATATTAGGACATTGGACGGGAGCCTATAGATAAGACAGGGCAGTGTAAGTGTGTGTGTGTGTGTGTGTGTGTTTAAATCAGAGTGTCTGAGAGTTTCAAAAACTGCCTGGAAACTTTTTATTTTTAATTAATTTTTTAAATTGATTTGAAGGGGCTGGGGAGAGGTAGGGAGGGAGAGAGGAGGGCAGGGGGGCAGGGGGAGAGAGAAACATCATCAATATGAGAAACCAATTAGCTGCCTCGCACATACGACCCAACTGGAGCTCTAACCCGCAGCCTAAGTACATGCCCTGACCAGGAATCAAACCAGGGACTTTTTTTTTTTTTTTTTCTTTTGTGCACAAGACAACCGTCCATCCACCTGAGCCACACCGTCCAAGGCTGATTAACTGCGTAACTTTTGTAAAGCCCAAGGTCAGGGGACTCCTGATCTCAAGCCAATGAAAGAAACCGTCCTTTTCCCTTTTTTCCAAGACTTCAAAAAATGAAAACAAATAAAATAAATCAAAACTCAGAGCCCTTGGATTGGGTTAAGTGGCAGCAGAAGATTTTTAGATTTTGGAAAATCTTACTCTGCCAGCGACGTAAGAAACCCACAAGGGAAGGTGGCAGCAGCTCTCCGTCTGACCCTCTGTAAAAGTAACACCCTCCCCACAGGACCAGCCCTGAGTGCAAGCTGCTCTCTCTGGTTCCCGCTTCGAAGGGAGGGCAAGTGGGAGGCAGGGTCCAGACTGGAAGCTCTTTATTTTTAAACAGTATGTTAGTTGAATTTCCAAACAAGAAGTTCATGATATTTTTCTTCAACAATCAGACACATCTTCCGGTGAAATTGAACAGGGTATATTCAATCATTGGCCTGGAAAAGAAAAAGAAAAAAGAAATAGTGCTGTTACTTAACAACAACAAAAAAAAGACAACAAGTAAGTTTCCCTATGATGAAATGAATTATCTTTCCTAATTGCCAGGCTTTTTGGATACTCTGTATAGAAGTGTTTTCAGACCTTACCTTGGATTTTTCTTCACTCCAGATTTCAGCTCTGACATTTGTTCACATTGCTACGTGGAGATCTAATTCAGCCTTTTGATTTTCTGTGTAGGATTCCATAGTATGAATAGGGGCAGGCTTTTCTTTTTGCCTTTTTATTCCTGTCCCTATTGATGGATTGGTAGTGTTTTTGCTATTTCAGACGCTGTGCTCTGGTGGTTTTCCTGTACGGCTTCCTGGTGTGTGCTTTTCTCGGGGCGGCTGTATTTTTCTTGAGGTGATGGGGGCAGCCATGGGAGGCAGGGGACCGGGTGCTCGGAGTGTGAAGAGTTCCAGCCTCTGAGAAAAAGAAGTTGAGTAACCACTGAGCTTCCCAGTCTTCGAAGTGGGGATGATGATGATAGTAGGTGAGAGTGGAGTTGCTGGGTTAGTAGAATGCCAGTTAAACATTGTTTTAGCTCAGTCTTACTGGATCCAGAGAACTAATTTATCTTTGAGGGTGAGTTGTTTATTTTTATATCTGTTCGCAACTTGGAGGGGGTCAACGAGTGGGTACGGAGTAGCAATATAGGTGCAGGGGTCACTGACAGCTGGGGGGCAGTTGCACAGACCCTGGGGAGATCCAATGGGGACTCCATTTAAGCCCCCGGTCTCATTTCCTCCTCCAGACTCACTGAGGGCCATTCTTTTACCCCCATTTTACAGAGGAGGAAACTGAGGCTCAGAGAGATCAAGCAACTTGCCCAAGCTCTGCTTGGATTAAAAATCGGGGCTGAATGGAATTTGAATTCCTAGGAAACATGACTTCTTGCTCTTTGCACACATTATATTTGTGATCCGAATGCACAGAAGTCTTAGAGCCCTGACCAGTGGGGCTCCGTGGGATGGGTGGCGTACTGCAAACTCTGAGGTCACCGGTTCGATTCCCATTCAGGGCACATGCCTGGGTGGCGGGCCAGGTCCCCCACTGTGGGCATGCAAGAGGCAACCAATCGATGTTTCTCTGGTACATTGATGTTTCTCTCCTTCTCTTCCTCCCTTCCCCTCTCTAAAAATAAATAAATGAAGTCTTTAAAAATAGTCTTAGAACTACATGATGTTAAGATAGTGAGAGATGCAGCTACCAGGAGAAGGTTCTTACAAAAGGACAAAGAACCAAGTGTTGGAAAAAGAGGTGGATGCCGCTGATGCTGTGTAGACGGTGACCCAAAGTTTGGGTCAAAACAGGCAAGGCCCTGCACTTACTTCCCTTGGACCGTGCCTTTCTCCTGACTGACCCTGATTTAACACTCATCACCCCATCCTACAGCCCGGGCCTAGAAAGGCTGAGTGACCTGTGGTCGCACAGAAATTCTGTTCCTCCTTTAGCCAATTCCCAAACTTACGCTTTTCCCAGTAAAAAGAAAAAAGCACTATTTCAGTCAGTCAACAACTCTCTCCTTCCCCATGGCTTTGTGCTGTGTAAAATCAGAACAATTTACTTAGGAAAAATTTCAACTATACAGGAAAATAGAAAGAATAGTATAAGGACCTCCATGTACCCGTCACCCAGATTTGACAGTTGTCAACAATTCATAACAGAGTACAGGTGCCATTTATCTTACCACTAAATATCTCAACATGCATGCGAAAAAACGATGCCAATTGTGGTTCTGTTATCCTGAGAATATAAAAAATAATTCTTAATGTCATCTAGTTCCAAGTCCAAATTCAAATTTCTGCAATTATGGCAAGAACTTTTAAGCCGAGCTTGCTAACCGGCAGTGTGTCGGCCCGGGAGGGGCGGTGCGCCGGGAGTTGGGAACCCGGCTCCCCTGCCCACGGAGGCTGTGGCTGCCACACCAGCGTCGGACCTTCCTGCTTCCCCGCCCGCGTTCCTGCATCTGTCCTCTGAGCTGGCTCGTGTCGCTGGTCTCGCAGGCCCCAGCCACTTCGCTAGGCTGAGTGCATCTTTTCCTCCTCGGGCTCGCGTGGCTGCCGCGGGGAGTCCTGGGAGAGGTCTTCTGGGTGGGAAGCCCCTGTCCTGGGGGCCCAGAGGCCCCAGGTGGCATCAGGTGAGGGTTCCTGGTGGTTCAAGGGCTGATCTGGGCCCTTGCAGAATATGGAATTCTAGGAACAAATAAAGCTGTCTCCCTCTAACATCTATTAACCAGAGGTCACCAAAAGGTTGTCTGGGGCCGGGTCCAGCCCCAGGTGGGGCCGGCGTGTTCCACACAGCGCAGGGGGAGAGAATTGGGGGACTCCATGTACAGAGCTCTGGATTTCCAGCTTCTTGGGAAAAAATTGGACGACCTAACAACACTTGTCTAGGACTCAGTAGTAGAGCCCTCTGTAGACCTTGCCACAGTTCCCACCTCTCCCTGTTGCCTCTGTATCATGCAGCAGTTCTATTTATCACTATACAGGTTTTTTTCTTATGTTGAGAAACAGTTCTCTGAATCTGTGTATGTTGAGAAACAGTTCTCTGAATCTGTGTCTATTATTTACAAAAACAGGAAAACAAAAACTAGAGCAAGGTGGCCACTGCTTTTCCTACACCGCGGGAGGCCATGAGAGGCGGTAGTAAGAGTAGGTTAGGGAGGCCTCTGGTTAACGGGCCAGCGGCCCCCTTGTGTTCTTCCATTAAACCCTCACCGAGCCTGAGGCCCTGCAGTGAGTTGAACTGCCGGACAGAGAGGTTGGGCAGTCCTCCAACGTTGCCCAGCCAAGCGATGCCACCCCTGTCCTGGGCAAGACCGAGCATGGGTTATCTGCCAGGTGCTTAGCCTACACTGGCTTCGTTGCCCTTCTTAGCAACTCTGGAAGGCAGGTGCTGCTCCCTGAGCACCATCTGTGTGCATGATTCATTCACCGGATGCTAGTTTATTAAGCACCTACTGGGGGCCAGGCCCTGTGGTCAATGACTAGTGCCCGCCCTCACGGGACTCCCCTCCAGTGAGGCTGTGATACTTGGAGAGACACGCAGGTGGGGGAGGGACCCTCCTGCCTCTCTCTCCAGATTTGCACAGGGTTGTGTGGAGAGAGACAGGCCCGGCGGCACAGTTGGCGGCGGGGTCTCTGAGTGAGGAGTGGGCTGTTTTTGGAGGACCCCACAGCATGGAAATTAAAACTACAGGGATTGGAATTAAAAATTACAAAAGATGCCTTGGGGTCTGAACCAGGACAGGCTGGCGGCAGTCAGCTACGTGGGCAGGAGGCTGGCACTGCCCGGAAACAGTGAAGTGTTGGCGGGGGAGGGAGTTTAGAGACCGCAGGCCCCAAAATAGAGCCTCCCTCGCCCCCGCGGGCCACCAGGCTGCATCACACTAGAATGCTGCCTGGCCTCACTTAGCTCAGGGCCCTGGTCAGACGCCTGGGCTCCCAGCTTCCTGCCTTTGTCTGCCCCTCCTTGGGACTTTTCTAGGGAAAGATGAAAGCTGCCAGAAATAACACCTGGCTTGCTGGGGAGCAGCGGGGATGAAGGGTGGGAAAGGAAGCCCCTGCCCCACCCACGTCCTCAAAGACCCTTTAGGGGGAACTCTCAGGCCGTGCCTGGGGGCAGGTTGCTGACCCTGTGTGTCTTAGTTTCCTCATCTGCAAAGCAGGTGGTGCAGATGTCCCCTTGGGGCGACCGGGCGGCGGGGCAGGGTAGCCTCCCTGCAGCCAGACCTGCCTGGACTAGAAACGCAGGTCCTGCACAGCGGGCCCTCGGGTCAGTGACTCAGCTGCTCTGCCTCAGTTTTACCTGCTGTAAGATGGGCTTGATAGTAATAATTCCTTCCTCATAGCGTGGTACAGCCAGAGCCCACTTACTATTAACCATTATTACTGAGCAAGGACACCTTTGGAAAAAACGTAGCACCTGACGTACTGCTTTTACTCAAATAATGGCACCCGGGAGTCTAATGGGTCCGGCTCCTCAGGCCCCACCAGCTTTTCCCTGGTGACAAGGTACCAGGCACTCCCTGTTCTATCTGTAACTCTCTTGATCTGCATCACAACCTGATGTGGTCAGCAGTGTTGTCAATCCTGTATTACAGGTGAGGAAACTGAGGCATGGAGAAGTAAAGCCACACAACCAGCAAGTGCGTGGCTGGGATTTGAAGCCAGAAAGTGTGGCGCTACAGTTGGGCTCATAGCCACCATGCCCTCCTGCCAAAAACGCTGCTCTCTCCCTGACCTGCCTGTCTGGGCTGGTGCGCATCCGGCCAGCAGGTTCCTCCCACCCGCGCTCTGCCAGTGTGGCGCCCCACCTTTAAATGGAGCCTGTGAGAAATGGCCTTGACCCAGGGGTTCACAAGAAGACAAGGGGAAGGAGAAGGTCCTGGCACCTCCCTGGCACCCCCCTAGAATCCCAGGCCTGCGACTTTGCAGGCCTCCTCCATGACGGGCTCAGAGGCAGAGTGGGGGCTGGGGAGAGAGGAGGAGGGTCTGCAAGTGGCACTTCTTGACGCCCACGAGCCTCCTCTCTGGTTCCGCTCCTGTTTTTCCTAAACTCTGGCTCTCAAATCTGTCCAGTCTCTTTGTTCACCACCTGTCCCACCCTTTGGGTTATGTTGGGGGACAGCCAGACCGAAGGGGCAGGAGGCCATGGTGGAGGAAGGCGGAGAGGGAAGGGGAAGAGGGATGAGGAGAAGTTGGTGCTCGCCCCCGCCCTGCTCCCCCCCCCCCCCCCCACTACTGGAGGAGCTCAAAATCCACCCCCTGCCCTGAAGGGGAGGAGTTGGATGCTCGGACTGGCTCCCTGGGGGCCCGGCCTTCACTTCGCTTCCTCCGTCATTGCTCTCTGATAGCTGCAGTAGCCTCCTGACATGTCCCTGCTGTCTCCCCCCCAGGTTGCACCTTTTAAAAGCAAAACCACATTACTTCCCAATTCCCACTTCAAACCCTCCAGAGGATTCCCATTACACTTGACGTACAAGCCAGGCTCTCTCCTTGGCTTCTGGGTCCTCGTGGTCCACAGGTCAGCTCCAACATCATCTACCTCTCAACCCCTCCCCGCATTCTCCACTCCAGCCCCACTGGTTTCTGCTGTCGTGAAAAACCTCACCAAGTGCGTTCCCGCCCCCGGGCCTTTGCACTTGCTGTTCCCTCTGCCTCTAATGCTCTTCTCTCCTCTCTTCCACTGTACTTCCTTCTCATCCTTGGGTCTTGGAGAGGCCGGCCCTCACCGCCTTCTCGGAGCTAGCCCCTCACTATCTTGTATCACCCTTCTTTTTTGTCTTTAATGAAATATAATGCACATACTGCAAAATTCACAATTCAGGTTTTTAGTCTGTTCACAGGTTTGTGCAACCATCACCACTATTTAACTCCAGAACACTCTCATCATTCCAAAAAGAAGCGCTTTACCCATTAGAGGTCATTCATCATCCGTCTCTCTTCAGCCCTTGGCAACCACCGATCCACTCTCCATCTATATTGATCTGCCTTTTCTGGACATTCTATAGAAATAGAATCACACAATACGTGGCCATTTATGTCAGGCTTCTTTCACTTAGCACAATGGTCTTGAGGTTCTTCCGCATTCTGGCATGATTTAGTGCTTCATTCGTTTTTATGGCTGACTGATGTTCCCAGGCATGAGTAGACCACATGCTATTTATCCATTCATCAGTCCATGGACCTTTGGGTTGGCTTCACTTTTTGGCTGTTATGAATAATGCTACTATGAACAGTAGTGTACAAGTTTTGTGTGTTTCCTGGCCATTTGTGTGTCTTCTTCAGAGAGCTGTCCATTCAAATCCCTCGTGCGTCTTTAAATTGGGTTCTTTCTCTTTTCATTGTTGAGTTGCATCTTCTTTATTTTCTTTATCCCACTTTTCACTTTCTGAAACAATTTTGCTTTTTCGTGTGTGTTTTTGTCTATCTCTTGGCCCAGCGAGGCCGGAGACCTTGTCTGTCCTGTTCACTGCTGTGTCTCCAGCTTCGTAGTCACCGTTTGGTGAAGGAGCGAATTGAATCCACAGTGAGGAGAGCTGGGATGATTCACTCACTCTCTCAGCAGACAGGGAGCTTTCTGCCTCCCTGGGGTTCTGATAATTCGAAGACTGCAACATGGGTCCCAGCCTGGGCTTAGGGACTTCCAAGGGGTCCACTGGGAGCGTCAGCCCTACAATATTGTGAGGCTGAGGCTCCTTTTGTGATCACGAGGCACGTCTCCTTAGCTACCCCTCCAAGGGCAGCAGGGGAGAACAAGATGAGGTTCATAGACCACTTCATACCCACCAAGGGCTTGGCCAAGGGCAGAGCCCCGTGCAAGTGCCGGGTACGTTTGAAGGGATTAGTTATCTTTTGCTGCATAACCAATTGCCACGCACTTAGCAGCTTATTGTTCATTAGCTCACAGTCCAGCAGGTCAGAAGTCAAGCATGGCGTGGCTGGGTTCTCTGTACAGAGCCTTACAAGGCTGAAGTCAAGGGGTAGAAGGGGCTATCTCCTGTGAAGAATCTGGAGGAGTTCAGTTCCTTGTGGTTGTGGGACCAAGGTCCCCATTTGCTGTCAGATAAGGTCCCCTCATAGCTCCTAGACGTCACCAGCATTCCTGGTTGTGTGGCCCCTTCCATCTTCAAAGCCAGCAACGAAGACCCTCTGATGACATGTCTCTCTCATGCTTCGAGTCTTTTGCCAGGAACAGCCTGCTTCTTATAAACCCTGTGTCCACCTGATTAGGTGAGGCCCACTAAGGAGGATTGTTCTTCTGTAAAGTCAACTGTACCATCTATCCCGCACTCCACGGGAGGGGGTTGTAGAAAGGTATGGGTCATCTCAGAGTCCTGTCTATCACAGTGAGTTATAAATATTGTTGTTAGATTCTCAGAGGAGTTGCTCGGCTCTTGCAGATGATTCTGACCTTGGCTGTCACGCACCCAACCTTCCCACCCGCAGGCCGAGCTAGCACGTGCCCCCGGGGCATCCCCACAGCCCAGGGGCCTGGCCTCTGGCCACCTAAGATAACTCGGATTCTGAGCCGCGCTCTCCAGTGTCCCCCTTTCTCTGTGGGCACGACAGGGAGTATGAGGGGACCAAAGCCCCGGGCCGTGCTGGCCCAACCCGATAGCTCTGTGCCTTTGCACTGCTGGGTTCTGGAAAGCTCTCCCACCCTAAGAGAGATGACCGCCTCCATCAACTGGTCCCCCAGCTTTGGCTCTCAGTCCCCTACCGTCCATTCTCTACTCAACAACCAAAAGGATCCAGTTAAAACAAAGAAACACAAAAGCCCAAAACCCCCCACCTAAACCAGATCATGTTCCTCTTCTTCAGACTTCCCACCTCACTGAGACAAAGCTGAAGAAGTCCTCACAGCTGCCTGCAAGGCCCTGCAAGGCCTAGGCCTCGTTACTGCTCTGGCCTCAACCTCTACTACTTTTCCTGTGCCCTCCAGCGCAGCCACACTAGCCTCTGTACTTAGCCTCTGTACTAGCCTCTGTTATTTGAACACGCCAGGCACGGTTCAACCCCAGGGTTTGCACTTGCTCTTTGCACTTGCTCTTTCTGCCTGGAGGCTCTTCCTCCAGATATCCACGAGGCTCCCTCTCTCACAACCTGTAAGGAAGGAAGCCTGCCCTCCCCTCTCTACTTAAAATCCCGCCCATGCCCTGCACTCTGCACCCTCTCCCCTGCTTTGTCAAATGGTGGTGCGCACGGTGGTTTCTGCAGGCGACCTGGCGAGCCTCCCCTGGACCTGGGCAGCATCCCCTGGTTGGGCTACGCCTTGGAGTTTGGAAAGGATGCTGCCGGCTTCCTCACGAAGATGAAGGAGAAGCACGGTGATATCTTTACTGTAAGTACCTCTTGTGCTTCTTGGGAGGGAAGGGGACGAGCAGCCGGGCCCGTCATACCTGGTGTTTACTGACTCATTCAACATCCATCCATACGCTGACCCACTCATGCAACATCCATCCTGTGGTCCTGCCGACTTTCCATCTACATGACTATGCAACTGTCCATCCAACCATTATCTAACACCCTTCCCTTCATTATCCCTCTAGCATCTTCCTGACATCGAGCTATACAGTCATTCAGTATCTATCTAATACTTGCAACATCCATCTAACCGACTTCCATCCATTCATTCGGCTCCCATCTATCCAGCATCCACCCGTCCTTATCCCCTTCTGCCTATCTAAGCAGCACCCTTGCCTCCCAATAGCCACCCAACACACTCATTCATATATTCCATTCCCATTAATCCTGCATCTATCCACTCATCCACCCATCCTTCTATATTCCTCTCCAGCATTCGTCTATCCTCCATGTATCCATCATCTGTCCTTCCGTATGTCTTCCCAAGTTTATCCAGCACTCTCCCACTCATGTACCTCACATCCACCCAACTTTCAGTGGTATATTCAATTTCCATCAACTTCCTTCTTCCACTTGTCTGCCCATGTTTCCATCCACCTGCCGCTATTCACCCAGCATTCAGTTATTTATCCATTCCACATCCATCTGTTTATATCTCCATCTATCCATCCCTTTAACATCCAAACAACCGCCACCCATCCCTTTCCATGGGTCTTTCCAACTTGTATTCCTCCAACACTCACCCTTCCATCCATTTACCCCACATCCGCTTAGCACCCTGCCATCCACGCTCCCAATATTCATCCATGCATTTAGTTTCCAGCCAGCCTCTAGTTGCCTATCCACCCATCTTTCCATCCAACATACATTCAGTGATCTGTCCTTCCATTTATCCACCCATCTAACAATCCGCCCAATAGCATGTTCTCTTAGATGCTGGCCTGTATCTCTTAAGAGGGGTTGACTAACGTGACTCACAGACCACAGTGTGACGGCTGCACAGACACTTGAGGGAGATGCCCTTCCCTTTGTCGTCCCTCCCGTGCTGTTTCCTTCCCGTCTGGGGCCGCGTGCTGCCTACAGAGCTCAGCCTCCCAAAGAAGTGGGTCTTGCTGGCACATTCTCTAGCATTTACCCAGCAGTATCTCCTGTCCATCTGTCCTTCCTTCTTTCCTTCCTTCCATGCATTTATCCACCCATCTATCCATCCACCCATTTATAACTATCCGCTAGCATTTATCCACAAACATCCTTCCATCCATCTACCCGTCCGTCCATCCCTCCATCCACCCATGATGCACATACGTCCACCTGCCGCCTTCTGTGGGCAGCCGCCCTCCTGGCTGGCGGTGCGACAATAAGCAAGATGACCATGGCAGGTGCTTAAGACTGAGGTAGTTAAGGGCACAACCTCGGGTTCATTCCAGTTCTAGCTCTGCCACTTCTCGGCTATGTCACCTTGGGCCCTTTCGTGCTTTCTCTAAGCCTCGCTTTATGGCTCTAAAGGGGTCAATGACAGCGTCTCTCACAGGGTGGTCGTGAGGGGCGGATGAAAGACCATTGTCCATTAGGTACCTGAAGGGCCAGTGCGTGGCACGGGTGAGCCCTTGACCGCGGACAGCTGCTGTAGTTCAGAGCGGCACCCCTCGCGCTAACCTGCCAACTCCCCAGGTGCTGGTGGGGGGCAGGTACGTCACTGTCCTCCTGGACCCACACTCCTACGACGCGGTGGTGTGGGAGCCTCGCACCAAGCTGGATTTCCACGCCTACGCTGTCTTCCTCATGGAGAGGATTTTCGACGTGCAGCTTCCGCATTACAACCCCAGCGATGAAAAGGCCAAGATGAAACCGTGAGTGGCTGAACATGGCACCTGCGGGAGGGGCTGGGGGGGGGCGATCTGCTTCCACCTGCTAGTTCCAGTCGCGCTTGTCTCAGCTGGTGTCCAGTAAAGACATTTTGTTTCAAGGAAACAAACAAAAACAAAAGATACAGCAACCCAAAATATTTGGACTGAGGAAGAACTCTTTACTTCTTAGAAGGCAGCTCTGATTTGCATAGAAAGAGACCAGGGTGTAGGTCAGCCAAACCTAGGTTCGCATCCCAGCTCCACTCCTTCCTAGCCTTGTGACTTTGGAGAAGCTTCTTCCCCCAGCTCATCCCAAGCCTGTTTCCACATCTGTAAAATGAAGGGAGGAGGGTAGGGTGGTTAATATTTTTGAGTATATAGTCTATGTCAGGCATCATGCACGATTTCATTATTCTGCTGGCATTGCTGGAGGGTAAGTAACTTTCAGCCCCATTTTATAGATGAGGACAGTGGGGCCCAGAGAAGTGACTTGCTCTAGGTCACACAGCTAGGAAGTGGAGCATGTGAACTATAAGGGACACTTACATCAACAGTAGGATGTTGACTCTGTATTCACTGAGCAAACATCTGAGGACCTGCTCTCCACTGCTCACCATCCTAGACGCAGGGGGCACAGAGGGATGCCAGCCACCTCTGAGGACACCTAGCACATGCCAGGTGTTCGATAGGCACACGTCCATATTCGTGCAGTAGCCTCAAGAGGAAGGTATTTTCTATTCTCATTTTACAGATGAGGCTCAGAGAAGCGAAGTGACTTGCCCAAGGTCTACTGCTAGTAAGTGGCAGAGCTGGGATTTGAACCCAAGTCTGTAGACTCCACAGCCCATTCTCCTCCCCCCAAGATACTGAGGAAATGAGACTCTGCACCCACCCCTAAGGGCCCCGCAGGCTGATGCTAATCTTTACTGCTCCATGTCCACGAAGAGTGACCGCCCGGAGTTAGGTAAAGTGCCTGGAAGGCTGGGTTTCGCAGGACGGCTAACGCTGAGGAAAGGCCAGCCCTGTGAGGGACACACTGACGCGAGGCAGTGACCTTGGCTTTGTGGGACAGCTGCTAGGAGTATCTCTGAGCCTGAGTGTCCTGGGTCCCGCCATTCCAGGGGGTCATAAGGGCTCATTAGCAATAAGAGCCCGCAGTTCACTACATCCTACCCCACTACCCAGGGAGGACCCCTGTTTCCTCCAGTGTCCGCCCCCAAGGGTTTCTGGGAATTCCTCTCAGGTTGGCATGGCTGCTGCATCTACTCTCTCTGTAGAGGACTAGTGCCTGGAGTGGGATCGGGAAAACAAGGTCAGGGTCAAGGCCTATCACAACCTCCCATTTGCTGAGCACTTACTTAATGTGCCAGGTGCTCTCTTAAGCCCTTTACACACATTATCTCACATGGGTCATGTGTGCTGCTCTTCCAACTTGAACATCCAAAAGCTTTTATGACCTGAAAGTTCATGGAACCCTCTGGAAGTTTTCTTCCCCTCTTCAGTTATCCAAGAAACTTGGGGTTTACTCAGACTAAAGGGGTTCTACCCAAGCTTGTGTGCCCTGAGGAGGGATAGACTATCGTGGTGAAGACTATTATGGTGCCCTGGCTGGGGCGGCTCAGCGAGTTGAGCGCTGGCCTGTAAACAGAAAGGTCACCCGTTCAGTTTCCGGTCAGGACACAATCCTGGGTGGTGGGCCAGGCCCCCAGCTGAGGGCGTGCAAGAGGCAGCCAATGTTCTCTCCCTCTTTCTCCCTCCTTTCCCCTCTCTCTAAAAATAAATAAATAAAATGGTTTTGTTATTGTTGTTTTTTTATTTTTTAAAGAGCTCAGACTCCAGAGTTACGCAGATCAAAGTTTCAATCCCAGCCGTATCACTTATTGGTCGGGTGACCTTGGGCAAGTCACTTCCCTCTGAGTCTCTGAGTTTCTCTGTCTGTAAAATGAGTATCATAATGGTAACCATTAACCCTAGAGCTGCCAAAAATGAGATCATTGTGCTTAGCACAATAAATAGTACCAGTCGTCGACACTGATGATGAAAGCGATAGTATCGTCTTGTTAGAGCCGATCTTTCCCAAGGCCCCCGCTACCAACGAGAAACCGGAGCCCAAGCACCCTGAGGTCTGGCGAGGGAGGCGCCCGCAGGTGGATATCACCCCGTGGAAGCTGCTCTTTCACTTCTTCGTTCCCTGCCCCAGGACCCTCCTCCACAGGGAGCTGCAGGCGCTCACAGAAGCCATGTACACCAACCTCCGCACGGTCCTGCTGGGCGACGCCGCAGACGCGGGCAGTGGCTGGCACGAGATGGGCCTCCTCGATTTCTCCTACAGCGCCCTGTTCCGGTGAGCCCGGGCAGCCCCGCCCTCCTGCGGGGGGCCCAGCACTCTGGGCCTGGCTCGGTTACGAGTGGCTGGGGAACCATGAGCACTTTGTGGGTGGGGGAGCCCTTTGGGACACTGAAAGCAAAGACTGCCAGGTGGCATTTTGCGTCTCAGACCCCAGGTATTTACCTGGCTCAGCCTGCGAGTTGTAAAGGAGACAGAGGCCAAAAAGAGGGGCCTTGTTGGCTTTGGAATTTATTCTGTGTGAGATGGGCGACACTGGGGGGTTAAGCAGGGGGTTGACATGGTTGGACTTACGGCTTTAGAAACGCCCTCGGGGCGCTTTGAGCCGGGGAGCTCGGTTGCTCCGAGCGTCCTCCCAATACGCCAAGGCTGCGGGGGTGACTCGCTGTCAGGGCACATACAAGGAAGGACCAGTGAGCGCATAAAGAGGTGGCGCAACAAAGCAATGCTTCTCTCTCGCTCGCTCGCTCTCTAAAATCAGTAAATAAAGTTTAAAATAAAATAGAATGAAAGTGCTCTCTGGCTTCTGGGCGGAGACGAGGCCGCAGGTCAGGGGTGTAGCAATGAGAGGGAAGCAGGAGGACCCGTTAGGGGCTGTTGCAGTTGCCCAGGTAAGAGATAATGGTGGCCTGGACCAGGGAGGTGGCGATAATTCGGGGGAAGGAGCTGAAGGGACCTGCTGAAGGATTCGACTGGGGCGGGGGCGGTGATGGAGGAGCGTGAGGGCAAAAGCTACAGTCAGGGCAGCCCGTTGATTTTTGGTGGTACCATTAACTGACTGGCATTTCTTAAAAGAAAGGACACTTCAGCTCTAAAACATTAGAGGGACACAGTGTCAGCACAAAGGACAGGCATTCGCTGACACGTGGGCACCTGGCCACATTTGTGACACATGCATATGTGCATATGTGTAGGCTCCATGTGTGTTAATGCATGTCATCCTCGCAGCAGCTCTGTGAGGCTGGCACCCTACAAACCCCACGTGACAGATAAGAAAACTGAGGCCTGAGGGCCGAAGCCGTTTGCCTGGAGTCGTCCCACAGTGCGGGGGACGTGGCAGGGCCGGCTGCAGAGCCTATACTCTCAAGTGAGACCCTGGCTGTGTAAGAGATCCACATTTCTCTCTCTTGTCCCCCGAGGGGAGCAGCCACCATCGAGGGCTGTGACTGGTCTGGGTCAAGCTGGTTTGGTCCTCCCTGCCCTCGTGGAGCAAGCTGAGGTCCGCAAAGGGGCACCTGAAGCCACCCAGCAAGTTCACGGCCAGGCAGCTCCCCGGTCTCCTGGCTCCTGCCATGCCACCGTGCGTCCCTGTGTGGACAAAGAAGTCCCCGAGGAAGCTGTGGCGCTGGGGACGCTGGGGATGACGTGGCGGCAGCTGGGTCTCTTTGGGCCCACGTTGGCAGAAGGCACAGCACAAGGGTCAGATGTAAGTGGGTCCCTGTGCCTTTAAGGCCTGTGGCCTGGGCTGGGGCTCCTGCCTCCTTGCCTGGCAGCCAGGAGCCTTTTTGTCACCTCTGGAGCCCCTGAAATAGAAAGGGATGGGCAATTTGGATGACAGGCCCTTGTATGGAGGTACAGGTTCACATGGCCCCAAACCGTGAGATGCCACCGCTCCTTCCCCTGTGGGGCCCTGCCTCACTCAGAGTCACATCTGGAGTTCTCCTCCTGGCCTATAGGGTCCTGCATGATCATCCCCAACCCCTTCTGCTCTTATCCCCGGCCTGTGTCCCCATTGCTCTCTTCCCTGTCATCTCCCGGGCCTCCTTGCTGCCCTTGAACAAGCCAGGCATACTTTCACTTCAAGGCCTTTGCAGTTTCTGTTCCCGTGCCTAAGAATGCTGTTCCCTACACGTCTTCATGGCTTCTACTGCACTTCATTTAAGTCTCATCGCAAGTGTCACCGCCTTCAGGGAGGCCTTTTCTGCCACCCCATTTAATAGGATGGCCGTCCCTTGCTATGTAGCCTCATTCCAGCCTTTTCTTTAGAGCACCTAGCGCCACCTGTAGATCATATGTATATTCACACATCATTATTGTCTTCAGCCAAGTCATGTGTTATTTTGATGTGCAGGTGCCATCGGAAGGGCCCTCTCTTCCACAGTGTGACCCCTTGTAGCCTTTTTGGTATGGACTTTTGGGGGGTTTATTTTTTATTGTCTATTTTGGTAGACAATATGGTATAAACTTGAAAAAGTTTCTCTGTTTTAATTTAAAAAACCAGTGCAAGTGGGATGACAAATGGCAACCGGTGTTTAACTGCGGTGTCACGGGGGCCACAGGGCCTGCTGAGGGCCGCCTGGCCCTGTCTAAAAGGGGAGGCCGTGACTCGACCCCTGCCCGGGGCTCCCAGGCCCGACTACAGGCTTGGGGGCGGGGCGGGGGGGCAGATCCTGCCCTTTTTCAAGATGAGATGAGGAGGAAGTCCAGATTTTGTGTGAATTTCCCCAAATGTTGAAACTCAGTTTGTTTTTAGGCAAGCTCTGTTGACCAAACAACACACATCTGTGGACTAAATGCAGCGTGTGGGCTGTCCTTTACAACTCTGCCAAGGGAAGTGGGGCGTTTGGAGAAGGGGGCCCAGGGCCTCACAGGGCTGGGGCAGATAGGGGGAGAGGATCCCTCCTGGGCCGGTGCAGAGGCTCGAGAAGGCCACGGGCCAGACTCTGGGAGGAGCTCGTTTCAGCCGCTCTGAAGGAAGCGCTGTTCCGCTCAGCGCTGCGGGATGGGCGGGTGGTGAGTGGGGCACGGGGAAGGCGGACAGCGTGCTGGACGACTGAGCTCAGAACCATGATGACCCTGCCATTTTCTCCCAAGATCAGTGTTCTCAGCGTTAAGTTCTAACCACTCATCCATCCGCACACCCTCCCTCCTGTCCATCCATCTATCATCCATCCAGCTACGCTCCTGCCCGCCCATTCAACCATCCACCCATCCACCCACCCATCCATCTACCTTCCCTCCCATCCATCTTTCCAACCATCCATCCATCCATCCAGCCAGCCATCCATCCAACTATCTATCCAGGGAACATTTACCAAAGGCCCACTACGTGCCTGCACCTTGCGGGTAAGGCAGTGTCAGGACTAGACAGGCCCCTCTCGGCCCCCAGCCTCCCTCACTCGGCGTCCACCCTCCCCTCCTCTGGAAAATCCCGCTCCGGGCAGATCCAGGGTCGAGGAGGAGCTCAAGGGGAGTAACAGGCTTCAGGCTTCGGTGGTGCCTCTCTGCAGAGGCCCCTCCCACCCCGCAGAGAAAGTGAAAACCTGCGGTTTTCCTCCCAGGACGAAGGCCAGTGGGTCTGGGACTCCTGAAAGTATTTAAAGGTGACTGGAGGTGAAAACATTTCCTCTGGAACTGTTCCTGCTGGGAGAGAGCACGCGCGGGCGCGCGCACGTCCCAGGGCACACTTGCTCCTGTGGCTCATCCTTTCTCCACTCCCCACCAGGCCCTGTCCCTCTCCCGCCTGACCCCTTGGGTCAAGCCCAGCCTTCTCATGGTTGCAGCCCCTGCCCTGCACGACCAGCCCCGCCAGCTCCCAGACTGCTTCTGCCCCTGTCCGCTTGCACTCCAGCTCCAGCGCCTGGACCAGCGTCACCTGGCCGCTCTGACCAGGCCGAGCTGCTCCCTCAGCCTTGGGCCTTCGCCCAGGCTCTGCCTTCTGCCTGAACCCCTTGACCCTCTTTTTTCCCTGCTCACCCTGCAGGTCTCAGCTCAGACCCTGCCTCCTCCAGGGAGCCTGCCCTGATTCCCTCTGCAGGGGCAGGAGCTGGCTCACCTGGCCTGGGGCTCTGTCTCACCCCGCTGTCCCCCTTAGTCGCTCTACTCCAGCCTCACCAGCCTCCTTGCTGCCCCGCAGCCCTCCCATCTCCTTCCTGCCTCTGGAGGTCGGCACCCACAGAGGTCAGCACCCACGGTACCCTCTGCCTCGGGCCCTGCCCTCTGCGCTTTCCTTCAGGTGTCAGCTTAATGGCAAGGCCCTTCGCCCGCTCCCTCCCACATGCCTCGGAGCAGCGGCTGACGTATCAGTTCACCCATTTCTCTTGTCTATGGCCTGTCTCCTGCACCAGAGTGTCTACTCTGTGAGGCATTGAGGGCTTGTCTGTTTTATTTAGTGTCTCCCGGCTCAGAACAGTCTGGGCAAACAGTAGGAAAACTAGGTGCTCCCTGGGTATATGAATGGAGAAAAGCTTGTAGGCTGCCATGGGAGGGTCTGGCCGGGAGTGACCAAGGAGGACCCCTGACCTCCTGTTTGCTGTCCTCAGAGCCGGGTACCTGACGCTGTATGGAGTCGAGGCCCTGCCACGTACGCCTCAGAGTCAGGCCCAGGACCGCGTCCACTCAGCCGACGTCTTCCACACCTTCCGCCAGCTCGAACTGCTGCTTCCGAAGCTGGCACGAGGCTCCCTGTCAGTGGGTGAGCGCCCGGGGCAGGGGCATGGGTGCTGGTGGGTGCTGGGACAGACTGAGCGACACAGAGTGGGCGTCCAAGCTCAAGGCGGAGGATCTCACCTGTAAAATGTGAAGAAGAGCAGGACCTTCCTAGAAGGTGGCTGTCAGGATTGGCTGAGGTAATAAGGGAAAAAAAAAAAAACTTTTTGAGCTTCCTTATGTGCCTGATACCAGGTTAATGAAGTATTGTCTCATTCATTGCTCACAACAGCTCATCACTTCATTTCCTTTGTTTATATATTGTTATAAACCAAACTTGAACCCATTAGATTGTTTAAATTAAGAAACATATTATTGTGGGTAAAAATTCATAGATGTAGACAGTAAAAAGTAGTAACATTCATTCTTCCAAGCCCAGCTTCCTTTAGAAATAGATGTTAACATGCTGACATACATCCCTTCACAGTATTTTGTCGGAATATTCTATTTTGCAAATAGAGACAGATATACATATCTAGAGTGTGTAATTTTTTTAAAAAGGGGGTTATATCCATTATGTGCAACTTTGTAAAATTTGTTTTTAGAGAGAGGGGAAGGGAAGAGGAAAGAGAAGGAAAGACACATCAATGTGTGGTTGCCTCTCACGCGCCCCCTACTAGGGACCTGGCCTGCAACCCAGACATGTGCCTTGATTGGGAATCGATTCAGCGACCCTTCGGTTCGCAGGCCAGTGCTCAATCCACTGAGCCACACTGGCCAGGCCTGCAACTTATTTTTTTTAAGCTAACAATATAAATATATTTTCCGCTGTCAATATAAACATCTTCTAGGTGCTAGCCAATGCAATTAGATAAGGGAAATCAATTACTGATATAAGAATTAAAACTATCCCTATTTGCAAATGGTCTGCTTACCCTTGCAGGTCTCAGGAAAACCTCAGAAAATCCATGACAGAACAAACTGAAGTAAAAAAAACAAAAACAAACAATCTAGCAAAATAGAAGGACATAAAATTAACAAAAGATATAGACACCCTTCCAGCCCTTACATGTCAGTATTTAGGCAGCCACGCCCCTCCAAAGGGTTATTATAATCGTTTCCTTTTGTGTGTGTGACAATTATAGTATCTTGCTGTACTGATTTTATTTCTTGCTTGCTGGTGATTTTATCTCTTGATGACATTTTCTTGGAAGTGGGTTTTTCCAGGTCAAAGGGCATACACATTAAAATGTTTATTAGTCATTACCACATCATTTCAAAAAAATGGAGCAATTTCTCTGCCTACCCAAAAGGAAGGAGCCCACCAGATGTTATCAGTCTTTGTATTTGTTCACCAATCTGATGGGCAGAGCTGAGTAACTTGTTTTAATTTGCATTTTCCCACAGCCTTCTCAACACGCAGTTTTCAGCCTTTAAAGGCTTGCCAGTCTGATGGTACCAAAGGTCATCTGGCTTTATAGGTTTTTCCCAGTTGATTGAGATGAAACATGTTTTCATGTTTTCTCAGCCATTTGCTTTTCCTCTCTGTGAGTTACCTATTCGTGTCTCCTAACATCTTTTTCGAGGCAAATCTTTATCTCATTGACTCCTGCCCTCAACGTCGGAAGTGTAGTATCATTATACCCACTTTGCAGGTAAGAAAATTGAGGCTCAGAGAGGTCCCTTGTCATAGACACAGCTGGTGGGGGGCAGGGTCAGCAAAGTGGAAACTTGGTTTGTCTGATTGCAAAATGCTATGCCTAAATCACCTGACACATCCCAGCTCCGACTACCTCTCCAGGAAAGTGGTGTCTGCATTGCCCTTTGCTCCATGGTGACACTTCGCTCCCCTGGAGGGAGGCAGAAGGGGACCCGCCATCCTCCTGAGAGCAGCCCTGGGCTTGGAACAGGATGGCTGCATTTCCCAGTATAGGCAGCAGGTGGCGGTGTTGGGAAAGGTTTCTCAGTTCAAGGCTGAAAGCTGGTGGGCAAACCTGTCCCTATCAAAATATAAAATGCACGTTCTTTTAATCCTGAACTTCTGTTGCTAGGAATTATTCCACAGACATGCTTGCACATGCCTACAGACACACCAAGATATTCATTGCCATGTTGCTTGTAATAGCAAATGCTAGAAACAACCTAAATGTCCAGCAGTAAGGGCTGATGAAATAAATTATGCATTCATAGAAAGGGATGTGCTGCTACAGGATTAAATCTACTGTTACCAGAAAGGTGTGCACAGTGGGTATATTGTGCTTTTTATTTATTTTTTATTTTTTCTAATTCTATTGAGATATAACTGACATATGTACTGTATCGTGTACTGTATATGTACATATGTGATCGTGTACTGTATAACTTGACTTACATATTTTGTGAAATGATTACCATAATAAGTTTAGTTAATATCCATGTGTTTGTTTTGTTTTAAAGATTTTATTTACTTATTTTTTGAGAGCAGGGAAGGAAGGGAGAAAGAGAGGGAGAGAAACATCAATGTGCAAGAGATACATCAATCAGTTGTCTCTAGTACACCCCCAGCCAGGGGCCTGTCCTGCAACCCAGGCATGTGCCCTGACTGGGAATTGAACCAGTGACCTTTCCATTCGCAGGCCGGCACTCAATCCAGAGGGCAACCTCCGTGTATTTTAAAATGTGAGAACATGTGTAGATTTTTGCTCTGGGAAGCCTTAGATAAGTTGAAGAGAAATTTACTTTTATAATATACCCATTTGAACTTGAACTTGTAGAACTTCTTTTTATTATTATTATTATTTATTATTTCACCATGTGCATGTATTACTCCTTCTCTGCTCTAAAAAAACATAAACATATTTTAAAAGAAAACTGACCCTTAGCATGGGGTCTGGTGTTTCTCTTACAGTAGGTCATTGGGCAGCAGTTAAATAAAGCCCCAAGCTAAGCTAGCTGCTTCTTTCTACAACATTCATTTCACTGATTATTTTGTGGGGAGGCTATTTCATTTGACTCTTGCTTTGAGGCAGCAGGCATTCTTATGTTAAAGGACCAGAGAGTCTAATACATAAACGTAACTCATTTTAAAGGGAGAACGCAGACTTTAAAAGCCTATCTCCTAAAGGGGGCCTCTCTGTGCCCAGGTCTCTAGGGGACAGAGGCACTGCTGAAGAAAAACTTGAGAGGTGCCCAAGCCTGGGACCCTCTTTCTGCAGGTGGGGAGAGTGAGGTACAGAGGTGGATGCAGCTCCAACAATTCCACACAGCATAGGAGGTCTGGGATTTGAACCTGCAGGTAAGGGAGGGAGAAAGAGAAGGAGAGAAACATCGATCAGCTGCCTCTTGCATGTGCCCCACGGGGGACCTGGCCCACAGCCCAGGCACGTGCCCTGACTGGGAACCCGCCTGGTTTCACTTCATGGGTCGAAACTCAACCAACTGAGCCATGCCGGTCAGGACTGTGTAAGGTCTTATTTTATATCCTCCTAATGATCCTATCAGCCAGATGGGGAAACTGAGGCTCAGAGGTACAAAGTGAGTTGCCCAAGATCATCCTTCTACGAAGAAGCAATTTATCGTTATTCCTTAATCACAGAAATAATTAAGAAATGGTATGTGAATACATCCTCCTTGGGCTAATAATTTGCTGACATTCATTAAGCTTCATTTAGTCACATAGCTAATGTGCATTAGGCCCATTGTGGGTATCACTTTCTGTGTGGTGCATGTTAATGCATTCTAGCTCTGCATAACCCTGTGGGGTGGGCACTCTTACCCTGTGTCATGGGTGAGAAAATCGAAGTGTTAAGGGGGAAGGTGATTCATCCAAGGCCAGGCGCTCTGCTCCAGAGCTTCGGCTCTTATCTGGGCTCCCCTCTGTCTTAGAAAAAAAAAATTGAATATCGCAGAAAAGGGAAATTCTCCTCCCAAAGTTACCATTGTTACCAGTTTGGTGTTGTCTTTCTAGAACTGTGTGGTTCCTTGAATGCAAGCCATAGAATTAAAGTCTAAATTTTCTATCGGGCACTTTTAAAAAGGAGAGAGATGAAATCAATTTTAATAATACATTTTCTTTAACTCAGTATATCTAAAATTAACTCAGCATTTCAGCATGTCATCGATATAAAAATTATTAATGAGATCATTTACATTTTGTTACTCATGACTCACAGCACATCTCAGCTTGGGCTAGCCACATTTTAAATGCTCGAAAGCCATCTATGGCCTGCAGTCACCTTACTGCACAGAGCGGTTCTAGACCATTCTTCATGTGTAGAAATACAGCACAGGCCCAAATTATACTGTGATCCAAATATACAGCGAACCCCCGTTTTCCTAGTGGGAAGGTATTTTTTTGGTTTGCTTTTTGGTCAACCCAAATATAGAAATAATTAGAAATGGAAATGAAAAAGTTCGACTTCCCCTTAATGATTTTGCTGAACATCTGTTGTTAAGCTCACATGCTACATGAACTTTTGCTTTCTTCCTACTCTTGCATTTTGGGAAATGGTTTTATTCAGCCAGCACCTTCGACATCTGCATCATTTGACTGAGTCACCAAACTCAGGTTCCCAGCTCCCCTCTCCCTCACTCCAGCATCATCTGTATGAGCTACGGAATGAAGTTACTGAATCTTGGTATCTCTGACTCTATAGTCTTTTCTCTGGAAATTTTCTCTGGGTGGCGGCTTGCCAGACTATGAGTGTATGTTTTGTGGTTCATTCATTGAAAATAGAAAATCGTAACAGTGAAACGTCTCCCTCCCTTTCTTGTCATATGATCTTCCACCCAATTCTCACTCTCCCCAGGTGGCTGACTTTATTAGTTTTGCATGGATCCTTCCAGGGTTCCTTCAGGCAAGTGTAAGCAAAGTGACTGTGTTCTTATTGCTCTCCCTCACCCCACCAATGCACACCAAACATACTACTGTGGGCGCTTCACTTTTTCCTAACGATATACGTATAGTAGCAGTAACTGTATCTTAAGTGGAGTGTGTCCCTGTGCTGTTCTAAGGGTTCTACAAATGTTCATTGATTTGAGGATCAAATCATTGCTATAAATTTTTAACTTTTTTGCTAGTCCATTTTTAAAAATTATACAACACCTTCTTTGGCTCATTTTCCAGAAGACATTCAATACTTCTCTTTTTTTAATGTTGGTAAAATATACATATTATAAAATGTACTGTTTTAACCGCTTTTAAGTATACAGGTCAGTGGCAATAAGTACGTTCACAATGTTGTGTAACTATATTGTTATCTATTGTCAGAAATTTTTCATTGTCCAACAAAAGCTTTCCATTAAACAATAACCCCATCTCCTTCTCCTCTAACCCAAGCTAACCTTTATTCTCTCTGCCACTGTGAGTTTGACTGCTAGGTACCTCACATAAGTGAATCATACACTATTTCTCCTTTCGTGTCTGGCTTATTTCACGCAGCATAATGTTTCCAAGATTCTTTTGTGTTGCAGCATGTGTCAGAATTTTCTTCTTTTTTAAGGCTGAATAATAGTCCATTGTTTGATTGTTTCCCCCTTTTATCTATTGCTAATAGTGCTCCTATGACCATGAGTGTTCGAGTAGCTGAGACCCCCTGTCAGTTCTTTTGAGTAAATATCCAGACGTGGAACTGCTGGATCATACGGTAATTCCATCTTTAGCTGCTTGAGGAACTACCAAATTTTCCCACAGTGGCTGCACCCTTTTGTGTTCTTCCCAGCATTGCACAAGGTTCCAGTTTTTCCACATCCTTTCTTGTTATTTAAGGTTTTGTGGGTGGAGTTTTTGACACTAGCCTTTCTAATGGGTATGAAGTGGTCCTTCATTATGGCTTTGGTTGGCATTTCCCTAATGATTAGCGATGTTGAGCATCTTTACCTGTGCTTATTGGCCATTTGTACATCATCCTTGGAGAAATGTCTATGCAAGTCCTTTGTCCATTTTTTTAAATTGGGTTTATTTGGGTCTTTTGTTGATGAGTTGTAGGAGTTTTCAATATATTCCGGGTATGAGACCCCTATCAGATAGAAGATTTGCACATATTTTCTCCTTTCTGTCGGTTGTCTTTTCATACTGCGTTGCTTTGTAAAATCATCTTTAAAAGCAGTGTTTACAGCAATATTCAAGACCTGCACTTGTGCTCTCTCACCTCAAAGAATTCCAGTCATTCTTAATCTGTTAGATTTCTGGGCCTCCTTTTTTGAGCTGTCTCATCGGGTGGCGCCTACAGGCACCCAGAACTGTTACCAGTGGAGGGGGCTGCAGCGCCTCTGCGCCCCACGCTCACCCACTTTGTCTCTGCCTGCCTGTCCCCGTCCTCGGGCGTTCTGATGAGATCAGTCTATGGAGGGACCTGGGCAGGAGATTTAAAAGCTCCTGGGTGATTCTCCAGGGCTCAAAAAATTGGGAAACACAGGAAAATAATGCATTTCAGATGAACATTTGGAAGATAAACTTGTTCCTGCAGGGGACAAGGACCGTGCATGCAGCGTCAAAGGTCGCCTGTGGAAGCTGTTGTCGCCCTCCAGGCTGGCTACCCGGGCGCAACGGAGCAGCTGGCTGGAGAGCTACCTGCGGCACCTGGAGGAGATGGGCGCGTCGGAGGAGATGCGGGCGCGGGCCCTGGGGCTGCAGCTCTGGGCCACACAGGTGGGCCCGGCGTGCGAGGGGGGCGCGCAGGTGTGTGGCTGTGTCTGTGTGCATATGAGTGAGTGGTATGTGTGTGTGCATGCGTGAAGGTGTGCATTTGTGAGCATGGGGGATGGGCTTGTGCACACACGGCCAGTTCCCTGATCCTCTTAACTGGGAAAGGGTATCATGCACAGGATCGCTGATGAGGAGGGGACATGGGACTGAGGGAAGAGCTCACAAGGGGCCTGCGAGTCCTGGTAAGCGAAGACGGGATTTTCTCTGGGCAAGTTGGGAGCCCTGGGAGCAAAGAAGGGACAGGATCCGAGGAGCAAGGGCAGAAGCAGGGACATGATAAGGAGACAGTGGTGGCAGGACCGGCTGGTGGCCGTGGAAATGATGAGGATGTGGAGAGGTCCTGGAAACACGAGAAGGACAGCGCCGGTGGACTTAGGAATGGACCAGGCCTTGCAGGGAGGGAGAGCGGGCTGAGGGTGCCGCCACCCTCACCCCACCCCAAAGCCCCGCCTTCTCTCAGTCCTGACAGTTGCTCAGGCAGACATTCTAGGCAGTTCCTCTCCCATCGACTCGCAGCTTATTTTTAGTTTTCTCTCAGAGCCATTAACCATCCCTGTAGGCGGAGGCCAGCGAGGGGCGGGGCGGGGTTTGCTCAGCAGTTGGGCCCCATTAGTGCCTAATAACATATTTATGGGCAAGGATTGGAGCTCCGAACCATTTCCAGAATCCCTGGCGGAAATGACCCCTGTCAGCAGAATTGGGTGCTGGCCCTGGGGGCTCGAGTGACAGAAAGTCCGGGGAACAGCCTTTGGCAGGGCCAGGATTTGGGGACAGGACATCCTCTGAGGTTGAGTCATTGGCAGCGTCCACAATCCAGGCAGGCGGGAAGGCCCTTGGAGAACACACGTCTTGAGGGCAGGGCCAAGGTGCTGTGTCGCCCGGGGGTTCAGGCACGGGCTCTGTGACTGCCCTGCCACTTCCTGGCAAGTCAGTCGCTTAACTCTTGATGCTTGGGTTTACTCATCTTTAAAATGTAAGTGGCGGCAGCCTCCTCAAGGTGTTGTGAAAGGGAGGAGAGGCGGAAAGGGAGTGGTATCTGGGCTTGGCAGAGAGCGAAAGCTCAGTCAACGTGTCTCGCAAATGCCTAGCGAGGGCCCAGGGTGTGCCAGGCACCGTTCTAGTAGCTGGGGAGAGAGCAGTGAGCAGAACCAAGATCCCGGCCCTTACACAGCGGACATCCTGGTGGGAGAAACGGACTCTTAATAAACATGTATGTAAAATATGCTAGAGGGGTGTTCGGTGGGGGACCAATGAAGCTGGGGAAGAGATTAGCAGAGGGGAGTGAGGAGGGCCTCCTTCAGATAGGGCGGTCAAGGGAGGCCTGGCCAAGGAGCAGAAACCTGAAGTGAGGGAACGAGCCATGTAGGTATAGAGGATGAGGGCATCCAGGTGCGGGGGAACAGCATGTGCAAAGGCCCTGAGGTGGGGATGAGGATGATGGGGCAGAGAAGCAGCAGGTGTCGGGCCACTCAGGGCCCTGGAGGCCATGGGGAGGACTTTGGCTTTTCCTCTGAGTTGGGAAGCCTCTGAGGGCTGTGAACAGAGGGGCAACATGGCCTGTCTTCTGCTTTAGAGGGGTCGTTCTGGCTGCACTGCAGTGGGAGGAAGAGGAAGCGGGGAGACCAGGGAGGAGGCCGCTGCAGTTACCAGGCAAAAGGAAGGTGCTAGACCAGAGGGCAGGGCGGAGAGTGATTGGGTGCTGGATATGTTTCCGGGTAGAGCCAGCAGGGTTTGCTGTTGGCTGGGACGCTGGGGGTGGGTATGAACCAGGATGGCTCCAGGTGGGGGTCTGAGCGGGGCGGAGGGGGGTGGGGAATGACGTTGGCATTAACAGGTCAGGCAGATGGTGGAAGGAGCGCGCGTTGGGGGAAAAACCAGGGGTTTGGGTTGGGGCCTGCTGAGTTTGAGATGGAAAATGGTGGGAGTGATATCTAAAGAAAAGAGCCCGGACTTCAGGGTTAGGGTCCGGGCGGGAGACGTTCATTTGGGAGTTGTCGGTATAAACATGGTATGGAAACCACTGGCCTGGGGATCGCTGGGATGAGAGGGGATAAGGAAGTTTGGGGGGTGGTGTGGAAGATGAGGGAGAGACAGCAAAGGAGACAGAGGAGGAGGGGCCGGGGGGTGGGAGGGCACAGGGAGGGTGCGCCATCCAGAGGTCAGGTCGGAAAGTATTCCGAGAGGGCGAGGAATGGTAGTTGTGATTGCTATTGTCAGGTCGGAATAGAGGCATGAATCGTCTTCAGAAGCAGTCGCGCGCATACCACGTGCCACGTGCCATGTGCCACGTGCCAGCCATCCTGTTGGATATTTTACAGACATCTCATAGGGTCCTCACAAAAGCCCCATGAATCCAGAGCCCCAAAGCCTGGAATCAGGCTGATGCAGGGGCCGGCTGGAGGCTTCTGCGTCCAGGGACCTAGAGGAGGAGCGGGTGGCCTGAGACCGAAGGTCCAGGCAGGAGGAGAGGCCGGCTCTACGGGCACATGGGTCGAGGTGGGCAGAGGAGGAGAGTCCCTGCAGGCTCCTCTCGACACAGGCTTCCCTCCCCACTCGGGCCTTGGCCTGTGGCTTCAGTGCGGGGACTGAGGCTCGACCTCCTGGGTAAATGAGGCAGGGCCCCACCAGAGAAAGCTGTACTTCCAGGGCAGTGAATTCAGAATCTTCTGTGGTGTGTGACCACACAGCACATGAACATGTGCACACACACACAGAGCCATGCTCACACACATCTATGCAGCGCGATGGAAGGTGGTCTTGTCACCTCCCTAACTCGCCACAGCTTTTTCCTGAAAGCCGAGGTAACCGAGCAGTCTCGTGCTCCGCTCCTGCTTTGTAATTAATGAGCCGTGGCCCCCATCGGACCATCCTGGCGAGAGAAAATGGCCTTGGCCCTGCGTTAACCTGAGGCTGAATTATTTATCCCCTACATTCCCTTGGCTATTTGAGTGATGAACAGCAACTGACCTTGCTTGTCTCTGCCGGACCTGAGGTGCTGGAGGAAACCTCAGAGGGAGTCCCATGTCTCTGCTCGTTCTCCAGCCTGGGGGAGGGACCGGAGGGAGGGAGAAACCTTTCTTGAGCACCTGCTCTGTCACCAGCACGTGGGGGTCGCTTGCCTCCAGCCTCAGCGGACCCTTGTGGCTGCTCCAGGGGTGGGCATGGTGTTATTTGAGCAAAAGGGAAATTCTGAGACCTAGAGGAGAAAGTGACTTACTTGTCCGGAGTGACAGGAAGTGGGGAGCTGGGATTTGAACCCAACTCTGCCTCGTCCCAGTTCAGGGCTCTGCCTTGAACTGTCTTCCAAGCTGACTTACAGGCCCCACCCCAAAGGGACACAGATGTTTATGTGACAAATGGAGTCTCTGCTAGGGTGGGCAGTGGGCAGGGACTCAGGAGTGCTTAGTTTTTGTTTTCAGTAAACGGTGTGGTAATGGCGCAGGCTTAGTAGGGGAATTGAACAACGTTACACAGCCCCTCCTTGGCACTGAAATCATCATGGTCGCTGAAGAGGAAGAAAGGACAGAAAACTTGTTTCACCATCATTGATGCTTTGATGCATTTGTTTACTGCCTTTTCTGTATGTTTGTCTCCAGTGGTTAAGACCATGCAGCTTTTTAAATCCCACTTTTAATGTGTCATGCACATTTCTCTGTGTCCTTGCAGATCCCTGTAAAAAAAAAAACTCACTCACTTTTGTTTTGCTTAAAAGTGGTACATTATGTTAAAAGCTTAAGCAGTTGAAAAGGATGTATGCCGTGAAAAGCCTGCCTCCCCTTCCCGTCCTCGGTTCTCCGAGGCTCCTAGAGGGTCTGTGCTTCTTCACATCCATCCTCTTTAGTCAGACACACCCACGGGGCACGCCCCTTTCTGCGTAGCCGTTTGCATGCCTCAGTGTGCCTTGTCTCTAGTCCTATATCAGTATCTGCAGAGCTGGCTGCTTTGCGACAACTTCCTGTATCATCCTCGGGATGGATCATCATTTATCTCACTGATCTCCCATTGATAGACATTGAAGTTGCTTTCAATCTCGTTCCATCAGCACTGTGGTAAATATCTTCGTGCAAGTAATTTTTTGTCCGTGTGTGATTATGTCTTTAACAGAATTAATGGGTAAACATGGGATTTAGTAGCTGCTTAATACTCCATTGTTATGGTTGAATAGAATAGTCGTGTATGGTAGGACAAGATTCCCCACCCCCGCCCACTGAGGCTAGTTGCTGTTCATCCATGCCTCATTTAAGGGTAGCCTATACACGTTTGGGCCACACGCTGAGTACATGAGTGTTAAAATGTTCAGTCAGGGCTAAGGTCTTGGAGCAAGAAATTCCATCCATTTTCCTAATTATTTAGCTAATGGGAAGTTTGAAATAATTTTTGTTCAAGACATTCATAACTTTCATAGTCATCATTGATCATTGTTGCTTTGCTTGATACGTACACAGCACTCACATATTTGAAAGCAAATATTTAGATATTGTATCAGTTTGCTGCTGTTGTATACCAGCCAACCACAAAAATTCAGTGGCATACACTGATGCGCCTTTATTTAACTCACATGTCTTGGGCCCGCTGGCAGTCAACTGGTCTAGACTGGGCTGAGCCAGACAGCTCAGCTCTGTTCCGTGTGTCTCCCATCCTCCCCTTGGGACCAGTGGGCTAGGAGGCAAGTGGAAACATACAAGGTCTCTTAAGGCCTAGACTTAGAACTGCTCTTCTGTCCATTCTGTCTCATTCTATTGGCCAGAGCAAGTCACATGACTGAGCTCAGATTCAAGGGGCGGGGAAATGCTCTCTGCCTCTTTAATGGGAGACAGTCCAAAGTCACATGGTAAGGGGGTGGATGCACGGAGGGGTAAAGAATTGGGGCGAAGGGTGCAGTCATCCTCAGAGGTTAGCAGTCATCTTAACTGACCACTTTGTTACTCTTACTGACAATTTTTGCTGGTTAGCTATGAAGATTATCTATGTGGCTGCATATCAGTGATTCTGCTCAAGGTCAGGGATGCCAGGGATGGCCTTGGGGTAGACACTGGACTCTGCCAAAATCCCAGTGCAGTTCTTGGCCATGTTCTGAGACTGCAGATAGACATAGGCCATGCCTAGATGTTTGGCGGGGGTGGGGACTAAGGCCTCCGGACCCCGGAGCCTCAGCCAGGGCTGTGTCCTCGGCATAGACCAGTCAGCTCACACCCCAGCTGTGTCCCCTCCACGGTACAACAGGGACTCTTTCTCCTTGCAGGGGAACATGGGTCCAGCTGCCTTCTGGCTTCTGCTCTTCCTCCTCAAGAACCCCGAGGCCCTGGCTGCCGTCCGTGGAGAGCTCGAGCGTGTCACCTGCCGCGCAGAGCAGCCCATCTCGCAGATGACCACCCCCCCACCGAAGGTTTTGGACAACATGCCTGTACTCGGTGAGGTGGTCAGACCCCTCAGGCAGCCCCGAGCCTGGGTCACCAGGCCCCTGCCCTACATGAGCTCCCGTCGTCCCGGGTCCGCCAGTGTCCTTGGACCTAAGGTGCCTCCGAGCCTCCTACCTTCTTAGACCTGGTGTCTCCATGCCTCAGTCTTAGCTGTTCATAGTCTCAGTAGGAGGTTTTTGGTTGCAAATGGCAGAAAACCTAACTTACACTGGCTGAAGCAAAGGGGAAAAAAAGGACTTTATTTGGGGCAAGTAACTAGAAAGTCCAGAGGTTTCTCGCTTCAGGTCCAGGTGGATCCAGGTGCTCTACCAATGCCATCAGAACTCAGTCTCTCTTCAGCTCCCAGCCTCGCTTTCTGCTGCGTCGGCTCCAGTCCCAGGCGGGCAAGGTGGCCACCAGGAGAGCCAGGCTGCCGTGCTCTCAGCCCGTGAGGCTGTGCCTCTCGGCAGCGTTCCCACCCAGAGTCCCAGGAATGTGTCGGCTTGGCTCCCTTTGGGCCATATGCTCATCTTGAGCCAGTCCTAGTGTTCAGAGGGTTGGGATGCTCTGATTGGCCAGTCATAACACAGCCCAGTCCCAGGAGTCAGGGGAAGAATCAACAGCCCAGCCCCTGACGGTAGGAGCAGGGCGGTCCCTAGAGGAAAATCAGGGAACTGTTTCCAGAAGGGGAGTGCATGCTGGGCAGGCAGGAACAACTGACACTAATGGCCTTGCTCTCTGCCTGGCCTTCTCTGTTGTCTTCTGTCTCCCGCCTTTCCTCCCAGCTTCTCTTAGGATCAGACCAAACGCGCCCTCTGAGGTCCCTGAGGGACCGTCACCATCACACCTCATGAACCGGCCCTCTTGGCCTCACTGTGTAATGGTGGGCAAGTCATGCTCCCTTTCTGAGGCTCCTCATCTTCCTCTGTAAATTGAGAGCTGGGGGTAGCATTTTAGTGGCTAAGAGGACAGCTGCTGACCTGTCCTTGTCCCTGCCCGGTGCAGACAGCGTGCTGAGTGAGAGCCTCAGACTCACGGCCGCGCCCTTCATCACCCGAGAGGTCGTGGTGGACCTGGCCCTTCCCATGGCAGACGGCCGGGAATTCGCCCTGCGACGTGGGGACCGCCTCCTCCTCTTTCCGTTCCTGAGTCCACAGAAGGACCCAGAAGTCTACACAGACCCAGAGGTAAATGGCACCACAGGGACCGTGGAAAAAGCAGCTGCTTCTAGATTAGCCAGATCTGAGTGGCATCCTAGCTCTGCTTTTTGCTGTGTGACCTTGTCCAGGCGACTTCACCTTTCTGTGTCTGTTTCCTCACCTGTGAAATAAACCTCATAATAGCACCTGCCTCGTGGGGTTGTCAGGAAGAGTAAATGAGATCATGTACGGAAGGCCTTTACAGTGCTTGGCACCTGGGGAGCGCTTCATAAGTGATAGCTGAGTGGTTTCCCTTTTTTCAGAATGTTGCAATGCCAACCTCTCAACATTTTTTCCTCTTCCTGGACTTGAAGATGGGAAACATGCACAATTTCTGATAGATTTGGGTGCTTGCTGTATGCCAGGCACTGACTGCTATGTCTACTCATCTATCCATCCATCAGTTTATCTACCCATCTATTCATTGATGCATCCATTCATCCACTCATCCATCCATCCATCTTCCTATCCATCCATCTGCCCATCCATCCATCCATCCATCCCCTGCCTTTCATTCATCAGTCTCTCCATTGGTCCATTCACCCATCTTTCATTCAGCACTTACTCTGCGCCAAGCCCTGTCCTCATATACAATTCTCACCTTACCACTCAGTGTACAATGCAACCAAATCAACATTCTCCTTTTAAAAATAATTCCTTTAAATTACAAAAGTAACATATACTCATAAAATAGAAATATATAGATACATATTTAAAGGTAAAATTTTTTCTTCATTCCCTTTCTCTCCAGTTCTATAGCATTCCCTAACAATGGTTGGGAGTGTGTCCTTTAAACTAGTTTTATGCCTTTGTGGACCTATACATACTTACACACATGTGAATAGATAGGTGTGTAAATAGGATCATACAGTGCATGCTGCCCTGAAACTTGCTTTTTTCACTAACAACCAGTCTTAAAAATTCTTTCCATGTGAGCACACACAGACCAAGCCCAGCCTTCTAAATAGCTGCCATACATAATTTTTTAACCAATCCTCCATTAATTGCCCTTTATATTGTTTCCCGTTTTTTTCCTCTTCTAAACAAGACTACGATAAACATCCTCATACTTTTCCTCATGCACACATGTCGTAGGAGTGGAGTCAGACATGGGCCTTCTTCCTATCTCAGGTATTTAAGTATAACCGATTCCTAAACCCTGATGGATCAGAGAAGAAAGACTTTTACAAGGATGGGAAGCGACTGAAGAATTACAGCTTGCCCTGGGGAGCTGGACACAATCAGTGCCTGGGGAGGGGTTACGCCATCAGCAGCATCAAACAGTGAGTATTGGGGGCTGGGGGAGGGGAGGTTCCTGCTCTGCGTGGTTGGTACGCACCCTTCTCCTGAGACGGCGAGCCGAGCCGGGGAAGGCTTCGAACGGGCAGTCCGGAAGCCATGTCTTGCCCACAAGTCTATTTATTTGTGTTTTTTTTAAATGTGTGCTAACTTGGAAGGATCAGGAAAGCTCACATAAAAAGCCAGCATTCTGATTTCTTCTGAAATAATCAGATCTAGCATCAGGTCCTTCCTCCAAGCCTAGGGTCCAAACGCCACACTCCCGAACACCGGACACCGGTCTTGGTGCAGCTGACCGTGGCCGTCTGTCTGCGGCTGCCGGGCTGCTCAGAGCCTCCTGGCAGGAACTGGCCACCCAAGTGTCGTCCTGCCCTTCCGTTCTTCTGATGCCTTGTTCATTCTCTTCCCTGCACCCCACGAGCCTTGGCCCCCGGCTGACAAACAGGTGGGACCAGGCATTAGGACATCCACCCTGTCCTTCTGTGCAGCTCTGTGCCATCATAAGTTGTGTGACCTTCTGTGCCCCCATTTCCTCAACTGTAAAATGGGGTACTGGTCCTACTATATCCCAGGGGTGTTGGGACAAAGGAATGGGATCTTTCTGAGTACTTAGCCCACTGCCTGGCTCACTATAGGCAGGTAATAAATGTTAGTTATTATAGTAATTACTAAGATCACTACTATTAATGGTCCAGCAATATGCTAAGTGAACAGGCACATTGCATTAATCTCTCAGCCTCAGTTTTTTCTGGCAGTAAAACGGAGGTCATTGTACAGCCGGTCTTGCTCTGACACTTCACGGGCGTTCCAAAAAACCACTGCGCTGGGAGAAATCGCGCATTAAAAGCCACAGACATAGTGGGGACAATGGGGCCAGGGCCCAGCAGTCAAACCCCACATCCGTGATACCTAAAGAAAGAGAGAAACAGCTAGGAGGAAATAGTAGTACAGGTTCACACATGTGAAACGGTTACAGACTATCCAAGTGCTGCAGCAAATGTGGTACTTTGTTCTTAAAATGACCTGACGTTCGCAGTGGAAGTGGACCGTGGATTGCAGCTGTGAGCCACGGTGAAGCATGGGAGGAGAGTTATCTGCACTCAGACCTCTGATATGGATGGTGTGGCGTGCGCGCGCCCCCCGCCACCGCCCCCTGCCGCACCGTGAACTGAGGTCACCGGTAGAGAGAGTTTAACTGTGAGAGCATTTTATGAATTCTTGCTCAGCTCAGCCCAGCTGGGGGCAGGCTTTTGCATTCTCCTTGTGTTTCTCGCCGATAAAATTGCCCATAAGCTCATGTGAAATTTGCATTAAGCTTCACTCATTCCCTACCAGATGAATCCCACTGGAACAAATGCAGGTGTTAAACAAGTGTTAAAACAGAGCCGACTATAGCTCCTAGTTCCTGAAGCTTCCACGCAGATGAGAGAGACAATGGACACTAAATACTTAACACAGTCTCTAGCACGTAGTGTGTCAATAAATTAGCTAATGTGTTATTTTTATCTTACTTAATTGTCATGACAACCCTGCTAGGTAGGTGTCAGCCCAACACGGAGGTCACATCATTTGCCAGGCTGCATGCCTGGTGAGTGGAGGTACCAGGATCCCAATCCAGGGGTGGGTACAGGACCCCCACCCTATATACACTCACCCTCTAGCATCTTACAGCTGCACAGCTGGAAGGGATACATCCCACCTTTTTTACCTTCTTTGACCAGACAGGGAAACTGAGGCCCAGAGTGGAAAAGAAACTCGATGAGGGTCACCCGTCCTTCAGTAGCAGAGCCCAGCTCTCCCGTCCAGAGCAGGGACTTTGCTCTGTCCTTGTCTTCCCTCTTCTTCATTCATTCAGTAAGATTCAAGAGTCCTTGCCGTGTGCCCTGCCCTACGTCGGGCACCTGGGCCTCGGCAGGGGGACGGTGGTGGGGTGGGGCAGGTGCAGATCCCATGAGGACCCTCACCGACAGAGGACTGTGAAATAAGACGGGGCAGGTGGGCGGAAGCAGCGCACACCAGGCAGGGCAGCCACCCCCTCTATGGACACACTGATTACATCATGTACATAGCGTGTTTACTTGCTAGGACAGAGTTCCAGGAGGTGGCAGTAGAGAGTGCTCATTCTCGCAAAGTTGGTCCACAGACCCCGTCAAGTGTCTCGAGGGAAGCCTGCCTATTTCTAATCTCACAAAGGCAGCCTGTAGTTTAGCAGCGGCCCTGACCAGGGCAGATGGCAAGGGTCCCAGGAGTGTCAGGGCGGGGGGATGAGTATGGTTGCGGGGGAGGGGAGTCAGGAAAAATCATTGTTCCCACTAATCCGGGGAAGCTAGTCTCTGCGGTACAGAATGACCCCCCATCTTAGCGGCTTGTGACAGCAAAGGCTGCACTCCCACTCACACAGTGTCGGCTGTGGGTTTGGGGGCTACCTCCCCTCCCTGCAGGCACTCAGCCTCTTTCCATCTCAGCGCAAGGCCCGCACGGCCGCCAGGCGGAAGGGAGAGCTGGCGAGGCCAGCCCCTGCCCTGCGGTGCTTCGGTGTGAAATGGACAGGCGTGCTTCTGCTCGCAGCCTGTCAGTCAGCGCTGCCCATGTGCCGGAGCTCCTGGGCCACTGTGCTCTGCGCTCTCACCCGCCTTTTCTCACGTCCCCGAGTGACAGTGGGGGGTCGGACTCCAGAGGAAGCCATTGATTGCTGTCCTGCCTTCTTCCGAACAAGCACCCCGTGCTCCCTCTCCTTCATGCCCTCAATGCCCTCTCTTTGCAGGTTCATGGTCCTGGTGCTGATGCACTTTGATCTGGAGCTGGTCAACCCCGATGTGGAGATCCCTGAGTTTGACCTCAGCAGGTATGGCTTCGGGCTGATGCAGCCAGAACACGACGTGCCTATCCGTTACCGAATCCGGCCGTGAGATCCGGAAGCAGACGGGACTCCACACGCTCGCCCCCACCCAGCCCACACCCGATCGATCACCCAACTTTCTCTGTCTGCCTCTGGCCTGGGTGTGGAGCTTTGAATACCCAGAGGCTCCGGCTTTCGCACTTTCCTGCTTTTTTTCCTGGAAGGCTGGTCTAGGGGAGGGGAAAAATGGAAGCTGAGAGATTTGTACAAAATGAGGCTCTTTCTGCTCCCAGCTCACCTTGCTCCTCTCATCCTATGACACCCACAAAAGTTAGGGCAGACAAGACAGACTAGGAGTCCTGATAGCTGTTCGCCTGGCCTCCAGGAGGGCCACCATGCAAGTCCTTGTCAACGGTGTGGTTGAGGCCTTAACCACTCAAAGCGGCTGCTGGCTGTAAGACCAGTTGGGATCTAGCAGTGTGTCCCATGAAATAAGCTCATCCCCAAATTATTAATAAACTAGCTGAAGCCAAGGGCCTTAGCAGACCTGTTTCAGTTCCCTCGTCTCTCTGTTCACACCGATTGTTGAGCAAATACGGGAGGGTTTTCCTGAAGCTACGCCGCCAAGATGCAGGTCGTGAGCTCCCTCTGGACGCTGGGCTCTGGGCAGTACACCTCGCTGTTCTGGAGTTGTGGACTCCAGATGCGACAAGCTTTGCCTGTGCTGGGACTCAGGTCAGGGATAAGAAAGACACAGGCTCCACAGGGTGGTCCAGAGGGAAGGAAGCAGCCTTGAGCCGGGCAAGCCAAGCAAAGAGGAGGCTTTGGTTCTCTACATTCTAGCTCAGAAGCTCCAGCTGTGAGCATGATCCAGTCTGCAGACCTGTTTTGTTTGGCATACACTTAAAAAATATTGCACATCAGTTGTTTTCATACCTTCTTTGGGAGAGTTGGTTCAAAATGTGCAGCTTCTCTTGAAAACTTCGAAGAGCTGGGCACACTGGGCCCATATTCCCAAAGGCACCCACTGGCTGCCTCCCTTATCTGGGACTTGTGTGCGCTGGCTCACCAGGGTTTCCAGTTGGTGGAATTTTTTTTCCGCTTCTCCTTACCTTCACAGTACCTCCTGGCCCATGAAGGCGTTCGAGTTTGAGAACCCTGTTCTGACTCTTACAAGTGACCTTTTAGGAGGTGGTAGGAACCTGCTGGTTGGCTCTCAGACTGCTGGTCCACCCTTCTACGTGCGCCACCCTTTGAACAAACAGATCAATGATGAAAACTTGCCTTTGTATCGATTTAGGGGGAAAAAAAGTTCAAAGAGAAAAGTTGCCTAGAAACCTTTATGATGACGTAAGTGTTATTAACATTAGGTTCTGTTTATTAAGGACTCTCCAATGGCTGTGACAGGCACAGCGGATGTAGTATTTCTACTTCGCACGCTATTTCTGCAGAGAGGGGGTGGTTGTGCCCTTTTTATCGATGAGGAAACAGGCTCAGAGAGGAGCAGTGACTGCCGGAGCCACACAGCTCATCAGCTGGTAGAGTTCAGCAGACGTATTGTCCCACTAAAATACATCCCTGGGCTCAAGGGGGTGGGTGGTGGAGGGACAGTTCTGTTTGGCATCAGAGCCAGAGGCGCCCATGGGTGGGTGCATCTCATGAGATGCAGACACACATACGCACACATAACTATGTCCCTTTAGCTTTGGCTGAAAGAGAAAGAGAGGACCTGAAATCTCTGAATGTTTCAAGCGCTAGTCTCTTCTTGAAGCAGCACTGGGGCTTGGGGGCTTCCCTAGCTCTCAGCTTCCAGGCGCCCCCAGGATTCCCAGACAGACACTGTGATTGGCAGGAGGCGGGATATCCCCAGGGAAACCCATCTTCACGCCTGGGTGACCCCTGCTGCCGCCTGCTTCTTAACTCCGCAGGAAATCAGGGCTGGCGGCTTCCAGTGGGAGGATGGAGCCGGTTTCCATGGCAACCCTCAGCTGCCTCATCCTGGCTGGGAAGGGAAGGAAGAAGGCCAGCAGAAATAGCAGCAGGAAGGTTTCTGTGCAAGGCTGCTACCCTGGTGTGGCGGGGGGAAGCCCTTATGACTCTCCTCTTCCGAATCAGGGATGCTTTGTCACTGACACTTGAGTCTCACCTGTGTTCACAAAAGTGCCAATTCCCTGTAAAGGTGGCGTACCTCCTTGAAACCACAATCATTAGGCAGAGACAGTTCTCCCACCAGGCAGCTCCAGCTGGTACCAGAGATATTGAAATGCAGCTTAGGAGACAGTGATTTAAGCCTTTCTTTGTTTTAATCTTCCTTTTTCATTTCTTTCTTCTTTTTTTTAATATAAAGAAGAAGGAGAGCTGAGTGGGTTAGTTAGGGAGGTACCCGGATGTCATTGTATTTCCTCATACCTTGCTTTAGAATCACAAAAATTGCAGGACCTATGTTAGAAGCACTCTTAGGTTGACCTCATGAAGTGTTTCCTTAACATTGTCATTTTTATTATCTTTGCTATGTTTTATGTTGTTTACCAAATATTGTCCTTTAAACAGACTCATTTTTTAAAACTTAACAGTTGTTTGGAAAGGGAACTTTTGTTTTGATCCCTGCCATTAATGGACAATATGTACCACTCATGGTCAAAAGTACCAAGTGACTGAAAAATTGCTAGGAAGGGGTCTCCATGCTGGTGTCACCAAGGCTCAGAGCCTGAGGTCCGTCACTTCTCTGTCACAAAATGAGTGAGTGTTCAAGCCAGCCAGCATCGCCCTGTGACTTTCTCCTTGACGATCACTGGACGAAGAGGACAGAAAAAGGAGTAAGCTGCTCACCACATGGGTCACCTGTGCATCCACCTGGTCTGAGTACCACCCAGGGTCTTCGACCACCAGTGGGCCCCAGGCACACTGAGCTGGTGACTTCCCGCCCACCCATTCTCCAGATGAGAGTTGATGTGTCTTGCTAGAAGTCATTGATGTTGATGTTATTTTTTAAATAAAGTGTTTCATGAGTAGCAGTGATTGTTACACCTTTCCATTTAAGTGCAGCGTTCTATTTTCCTATAACATTGTCGAGCAGAAACGTGCTGAAATACATGAAATCATCCTTGTGAAACTGCCTCAGCGTGACTCAGATCGCAGGAGCCAGCTGTGTCCAGGATGGCACTTAGCTGCTGGGACGGGAGCACAGAGTGCCTGCTCTGTGCCCAGCTCTGGGACAGGGCCTTAGGTCAAGCCACACCTCCAAGGCATGCGTCATTACCTCCATTTGTACAGGAGAAGGAGCTGAGGGGCAGAAGGGTGAAGCGGTTTGCCCGAGATCACGTGGCGAGTAAGTAGTGGATGCGGGATTCAAGCGCAGCCCCCTCTGCCTCCTGAGGCCATGTTCCCATTGCTGATCTTCCTAGTGGCAGAGAGGGACACAGTACCCAGGGAGGACTTTGGGGTCGCAGCTCAAAACCCCAAAGCAAAAAAGGTCTCATAAGTTCACTGCATGTTCTCTGTCCTTCACCGTATATAGGCATGTGTTTAAATTTTTAAAAAGGGTGGGGGGAATGAATTAGATTTGGGAAAAATTTAAAAGAAAATTGTTTTTATTTCCTCCCAAATATTTGAGCAAAAAATAACGGGCGGAGGCCACTGTGCACCGTATTGGTTTCCTCGTCTGCAAGGGGGCATGTAGGTACTTTGGTTGGGATTGCATCTCACTGTGAGTGATGGGCATGTCAAGTAACAGCCACATTTTCACATTAAAACATTCCATTCAACACAGCAGACATTCCTCTGACAGGCAGATACAAGGGACCAGAGGTGGTGTGGCCTCTCCACACTCGCCAGGCCCCTTCTGTCTGTCCCTCCAGCATCTGTCAACCTGTGGTTTCCACCTCAGGCTCCACTATTGCTGCTTGAGCTTCAGCCATTCTGTTCACATTCCAGGCAGCAAAAGCGAGCGGGGAGCAAAGAAGAGAAAACCTGCTTCTGTCCCATTGGTCAGAACTTAGTCACATGACACTCCTTGCTACACAGGAGGCTGGAAAATAGTCTTTCCAGAGGGGCACTGTGCCAAACACGGGGACAGGGAGAAGTAGGGAGTGACCGCTAATGGTTAGGGGGTTTTTTCTGGGGGTGATGAAATGCTAAGGTTGATTGTGCTGGTGGCTGGACAGTTCTGTGAATTTATGAAAAACCATTGACTATTGGTATACTTTGAATGGGTGAATTTTATGATATGTTAGTTATATCACAATAAAATTGTTCTATATATATTTTTAAAGTAAATATTTGAACCCCTCACATTGATAAGTACCGTTCTAGACTACGGGGACCTGGCAGTGAGTAAAACATCCCCCCAAAATTCATCTTCATAGGTTAGGTACATAAGTGAAATGTAAAATGCATCTTGATAAGTCCCATAGAGAAGAATAAAGGAGGGAAAGCAGGTAGGGAGTTGCAGTTCTAAGTAGGGTAGGCTTGGCAGGCCTCTCTAAGGTGACCTTTGAACAGAGACTAGAAGGTGCAAACCATGTGGGTATCTGAGGCAAGAATGTTCCAGAAAGATGGAACAACAGATGCAAAGGCTCTGAGATAAGAAGCTCTTGCGTTTTCCAGGGACAGGAAGGAGGCCAGTGTGGCTGGGAACCGTGGAGGATTCTGGGTAGAGGAGGGACTTGATCTGACTTCAGTTCTAGCCGGATCCCTGTCACTGTGGTGCGTGAAGAATGGGCTGTAGAAGGACAGGCAGGAAGAAGGGGGACAGGCAGGAAGGAGACCGCGATAGTCCAGGAAGGCCTCCGCGCTCACAGATTCTACTTGCAGCCAGAAGAGACCACACAACAAAGAAGCAAGTCAACATGAACACAATGTCAGGTCCTGAGAGGGCTCTGCAGACAAGCAAACAGCACAGTGGAATGTGGCAGAGACACGGAGATGGAGGTGGCCGTGGCCTTGGAGGTGGTCAGGGACGATCTCCCTCCAAGGAAGTGGCAGATGAGCTGAGGCTTGAATGACAAATAGCCAGCCTTGAGAAGAACCAGGTCAAGAATGTTCCAGGGAAGAGAAACCGCAAATGCAGGGGCCCCAAAGAGGCAAAGGGCTGGGTGAGTTTGAGAAACAGCGAGGCTGCAGGGAGGCTGGGAGGCCAGGGCCAGTGAGCGGTGGCGAGAGATGAGCATGGTGCACCCTCGGCAGCCGGGGCGAGCAGCCTGCTCTTTATTCTAAGTGCCCCAAGAAGCCATTAGAGGGTTTAAGTAGGAAAATCAACAAACAGCTTTCCTTTCAATGGAGTCCATTTGGCTTTGTAAGAATCTCATTCCATCGTCCTTATTTCTCTCGTTCCATGGTGGACCAGTGAGCATTCCAACACCTTTAATGCACTGGTGCTTGGGAATCGTTGCCACTTGAGATGTGATCCAGAGGGGTGTGTCTGCAAGGAAGGAGGGCAGTGAATGAGGAGAGTGGGCAGGGAGCGAGCCTCTCACTGTGGGAACTGCCCCTAGAACCTCAGGGGGGCCTGGGAGAGACAAGGCTGGTGTTCCCACATCGCAAACCTGGGAAAGTGGATCCTTGCAATGAACAGGATCTCTGTGTGCCTTTATTTCAGGCGTTCTGAGGGCTGCCCACTGTCGGGGAAAATGTTCGTCTCCTGGCCAAGAGCCAAACCCTCAGCCTCCTTGCTAAAATAACCCTTCAGATATAGGCAGCCATGGGTTCAGCCAAAATAAGCTCAATCTCCAAATCAATCCAGTTATAGGTCTCGGGTACCTCTTGCCAGCAGTTGGGCTAGTGGTGGTTATGTGACCCAGTACAGGCCAATGAAATAATTGGGGAAGTCCGGGGGGAGCTTCAAAAATGTGGGAGAAGGTCCTTCTTTCTCTCTGTCTTGGAGTTATCATGTGAGACAGGGGCATGGCAGCCATCTTGTGATCATGAGGGTAAGAAAATCTCAGAGAAATAAGCAAGAATCCTGAGTCCTCTGAGCTGCTCCTGTGACAGACCCTGGAAGAACTTAGGTCTGGATTTTGTGTTCGATGGGATAATAAATGTCATTACTGTTTAGAGTCTAATGAGAGGCACATACCATGGTCGTTAACAGCACAGACTCTGCCTGGTTTTGAATCTCTGCTGAGCCACTTAACACCAGAGTGACTTGGAGCATCTCTCTGTGCTCCAGACTCTGCACCTGTAAAATAGAGATAATAGATAATAATCACATCCATCATAAGCTGTTTGTGAGCTTTAAGTGCATTAATATTGTCATTCACAGCCAAAGGAGGAGATGGAAAAATGAGGATCCTAAGTTAGCCTCATAATAGAGTCTCCAGAGGAAAGAGAATCTGACCCAAACCAGGAAGAGGCAGGAAAAATGACATTGGATCTGGGTTTTGAAAGGTGAATAGGAGCCCTGGCTGGTTTGGCTCAGCGGGTTGAGTGCCGGCCTGTGAACCAAAAGGTCACCAGTTCAATTCCTGATAAGGGCACGTGCCTGGGTTGCAGGCCAGGTCCCCAGTTGGGGGCATGCAAGAGGCAACTGATTGATGTTTCTCTTCCTCACTTTCTCTCCCTTCCCCTCTCTCTAGAAAATAAAAAAAAAAAGGGTAAAAAAGAGTTCCGTGTGTGGCAAAAATGAAGGTTGGGGTCAGGGAAGCATTCTAAGCAGTGGAAACAACATGAGCAAAGACTCTGTATCAGTTATCTATAGCTGTGTAACAAACAACCCTCAAAATGAAATTATTTTATAATTTGTCATGGTTTTGTGGGTTGACAGGGACATAGCTGGATGGTTCTGCTGGTCCCGCTTGGGTTAGCTCTCAGGTAGCTGCAGTCAGATGTCGGGGTGCAGGGAGCGCTGCAACATCAAAGACGGTGCCCAGGCAGGGCTGGCTAGCAGGCTAGCAGGCTGTGCTCAGCTGGGACACTGGGGTGGCTGAGCCACTCTGTCTTTCTGTGTAATTTCAGGGCTTCTCACTTTCCGTGTGGCCTTCCCACATGGTCTCTCCAGCAGAGTAGCGTAGTGGTGTCAGCCTTGTACTCTTAAAGGCCCAGCGTGGTAGCTGGGGGGAAGCTGTGTTAGAGCAAGAGTAAAACTGAGGAAGGGAGATCGGAGAGGGAACCGGTGAGACCAGGAAGGAGTGGACAAGGGCGACTGAGACGGGGTAGGAGAGACCTCAGTCCCTGAAGACTGAAGAGATGGATCTTAATGAAATAGTATCTTAGAGAATCAGTTAATTAGCTCTTGATCTGTGTGCCTTTGATTCTTTCCTTTTGCTGAGTCACTCCTTTCCTACCACATCGGAGTTCTCAGGCTCCTCTGTGGGAAGACATATTAGTTTACCTCTAATTGCTTTGCTGGAAGCCCATGTCTTGGTCCGTCTTTGCCTGCATTTCATCATTGTTTGGCCACTAACCCTGGGAGTTAATGGCTTTGGCAAAGTCCAGGCCACAAAAGGGCTCAATGGACTACATGCCGGTTTACTTATCTCCCTCTTTGGGGACCCTTTGGTGGCAACCACATTTCCTCCCAGGGAGGGAGCCCAAGAGACCATTTCAAGACTTAGCACAGAACATGACATGTAGTAAACACCCGAAAATGTTAGGTGATGGCCAAGAGAGTGAATGGCCTCAAGGGCGGGTGGGTAGGTAGGCAGGTGGATGGAGAGGTGAGTGGGCAGGTGAGTGGTGGATAGATACGCGGGTATTTGGAATTGGATGAGTGATTGGGTCGGGGGGTGAATGAGCAGATAGACGAATGCATGGGTGGGTGCGTGGGTGAGTCAGTAGATGGGTAGGCGATTGGGTGTATGGATGGATGGTGGGTAAATGGGTAGATAGATGGGTGGGTGAAAAGGCAAATGATGCGTGTATGGATAGATGGCAGGAGAAATAGTAGGTGGGTGAATGAGTGGGTAGAAAAATGGATAGTGGTTAGAATATGTGAGTAAATGGAAAGAAAGATGAGTGAGCGGTGAGTGCATGGATCAATGGGTGCGTGGGCAGATAAATGGGTGGGTATGTAGTTGGATAGCGTGGTGACTGAGTATAAGGGTGGATGAATGGATGTTTGGATTGATGAGTAGGTGGTCAGACTAGCATAGAACAGACACTAGAATTAAACATCGGGTCACTCAA